TTTTCTCTTTTCTTCTTTATCTTCAGCCCTCAACTCCTAGATTCTTTGCCTACATTAACTTGTTTCAGATTATAAGCCTAATTTACAGTTTATACCATCCAAATATATGAACTTTTCCCTAGATCTCTTAACACTTTTCTTAGAGTTAATCGCCTGTTTTCCAGTAATTCTAATGCTTATCACTTACCTCTGCTACACTGTTTGTTTTTACCTGTTTCCCAGTATCTCCCCTTCTCACCTTAGTTACGGTAGCAAAATTGAAATACACACTGTTGGAGAATAGTAAAAATAATCCTTAGCCACATTCAGCTTATTAGGTAATAGCTCCTCTTCACATATATTTAAAGGTTGCAGAGAATCATTTAAACTCTATTTTCTACAAATACTAGTTCATATGCACCTGTGAGTAAGCAGGACAGGTATTCTTTCTGTTGTTCAGATGAGAAAACTGAGACTTTGAGACATCATTGCATGAATTGCCTAAGCCAATGCCAGGATTGATAGATTCTGAAGCAGAATGAAGCCCATTGAGATTTTACTTTGAGGAATTAAAGATTGTATATAAAAAGTGATTTTTCTGAGATCACCAAATATTTAGGCTTTTAGGCTAGAATTCAGACTTCTGCCTCTTAATATAGTACTTTTCCCTAAAATACTTTTTCCGCCAAAAGTGATCCGTTACAGTACGGTGGTAGTGTTTTTCCTTGATCTTTCAGTTTGGGTTGAAGATGAAAGATAAGCATATAAATGGCAGCTGCCACATTAGTTCCTCCACAAGTTGGTACCGTAGATAAAATGCATTCCTTTATCTACTGCATTTTGAACTGCTCTGTGATTTAAAAATTGAGGGTACTCATCATGTTAAAAAAAACACTTTCTAATAGTCTTTCCATATGTCTCCTTTTTACTCTTTTACTCTCTTGTAAAGAAGAAATTGAAATATTTAAAAAGAGGGGCGCCTGGGTGGCTTATTCACTTGAACATCCAACTCTTGGTTTTGGCTCAGGTCATGCATGATCTTAAGGGTCGTGAAATCAAGCCCCAAGTTGGCTCTATGTTCATAGGGGAATCTGCTTGAGATTCCCTCTCCCCTTCTCCCTCTGCCCTTCCCCTTGCTCTCATGAGTGTGTGCACGCTCTCTCAAATAAATCTTTTTTTTTTTTAAGCATTTAAGAATAAATTCAACTTACATGTATAACAAAATTTTGAATGATCAGTAGGTTCAGAAATTGAATCTTAATGGCTATTTTATTTTAACTCTTATTGACAACTTTCCTGAATTTTTTTTCTCTTCTTGCTTAAAATGTATTCACTTACTAGCCTACTTTAGATCTTTTACTGCTTTAGAATTATTCTGTCCATCAGTTCATTTTCATTATTTACTAGTTTAAAAATAGGAATAGTAGATTGGGCTGAATATATTGATTGTAGGAGACATCTTAGATGTTTGTGTTTTTAGTGAATCCCAGTTTAAGAGTTACTGTTTTTGCAAGGAAGGTCTTTGGTTAATTACAGCTTATGGCTACTTGAAATTTAGAGAACTAAGAGTTGTTGTATGCAGGGTCTTTTATTTAGTAAACAAGGAGGTAAGATCCTAATAATTTTATAGCAGTACCATATATACAATTTAATACTAAAACCAGACCTAGGAGATGAAGAACCTAGGGAGGATTTTTAAATTGATGAATTTTTTTTATTAACATATAATGTATTATTTATTAGCCCTAGGGGTACAGGTCTGTGAATCACCAGGTTTACACACTTCACAGCACTCACCACAGCACATACTTTCCCCGATGTCCATAACCCCACCACCCTCTCCCTATCCCCCTCCCCCTGCAAGCTTCAGTTTGTTTTGTGAGATTAAGAGTCTCATGGTTTGTCTCCCTCCTGATACCATCTTGTTTCATTTATTCTTTTCCTACCCCCCCCAAGCCCCCCACATTGCATCTCAACTTCCTCTTATCAGGGAGATCATATGATAATTATCCTTCCCTGATTGACTTTAAATTGATGAAATTTTTAATTTAGATTCCAAAATAGTAAGCTGTTGCTAATAGGATGATAATAATCATTAACCCTCTTAAAAGATCTGAAGTAATATTGTTGCCCTTGAGAAAATTAAGCATTGCAGATTGTGATATTATTCAACCTACTGTTTATGTCTGCCTAAACAAGAAGAGATTTTTCTCTAATACATGCCTATCTTTAACATACTGAGTCACATAACTTTAGAAATAACTATAAAATGTACTTTTCCTGGCCCTGAAGTAGTAAATGTGCATGTTTGTCCTTACTTTCAAATCTCATAATTGGGTCCTAGATTCCAGATTGTTTTTCATACATAGGGAAGCCACTACAACTTTTCAAAATGTTTTCTAATGAGAGTGAGGAAAATAGGTGTAAGATTTCAACCTTGTTAATAACTCGCTTTTAATACCTTGTTGTTAATATGCTTGGAGTACTATATTCATAAAAGTAGAAATGTTCTCAGTGTTTTATTTCAAATTTAGTTATGGATGATTGATATTGAAAAACCAATTAAAAGCAAAGGGACATTTTGGGAAGACGGCTTGTTCTTATATATTTAAATGTGTATTCACTTACATGTTTTTGTCAGAAGCCAAAATTGAGGAAGAGATTTGGCTTTCTGGGGGTTTTTGAAGAGAGCTGATCAGATACTGCTCCTTGGCTGAGTTGCTGTCTGCATAGGCTGTTAACAATTGTTTCTCTGGCAGCAGATCTTGTTCATCAGGATTGCATCATTTCTGGGAGAATGGCCAAGGTCCACAGCCTCAGTACAAAGACTGTCTGAAGCATATGAGGCCTGTTCTCTTTCTAAAGCGGCACTCCTCTTCCTGCCAGTCCTCTTCACAGGATTACTGAAGCAGACTTGTTCTGAATTTCTTTCATTGGATTGGCTGTTTATTGGACTCTTGTCTCCCAGCTGCTTCCGGCTCACCTGGCTGATGCAATTTCTTTTTCTGAAATCTCTGTTGGAATTGTTCTTAAAACACTTTTTGTGTGTCTGCTCTGAGAGTGACCAAATAGGTCACACGGGTCTTGTGCTTTCAACAACTCATATAGAGAAGAGACTCTCAGAATGACACATACAGAGACTATTGACCATTTCTGAACCCAAGTAAAAAGATGGGTAATTATAAAACATTTTTTCATGTTTTGTTTAATAGCCTTTTCTCCAGAAACTGTATGTGTGTGTAAATGGTGACTTCTCAAAATAGTACTCAGTGTTGGGAGACTGACTGCTTTTGCTTCTGAATCCAAGAACTTACTAGTATTCTGTGGATTCTGATGAATTGTTCTGGAAAAACAAATTGATATGAATTTGAATTGATATGAAATTGAAATTCTGATGTATTCATTTTCCCCCTACTGAACATTCATATATTTCTCTTTTTCCTCCTGTCATTTCTTACTTTCTTTCTTTCTTGTTGTTGCTAGGGGAGTCCACTTCTTCCTTGGTTTTTTTTTTTTTTCCCTTCCTTTTATTGTTGCCTTCATACCTTTTATTTTTATGATAATTCTGAGTATGCTCTTTAAAAAATTTTTTTAAATTTTTTTCTTTTTAAGATTTTTATTTATTTATTTGAGAGAGAGAGCACAAGCTAGGAGAAATGCAGAGAGAGAAGCAGGCTCCTTGCTGAGCAGAGAGCCAGATGTGGGGCTCGATCCCAGGACCCTGGGACCATGACTTGAGCCAAAGGCAGACACCCAACCACTGAGCCACCCAGGTGCCCCTAAAAATATTTCTAAAGAATAGGGGTGCCTGGGTGGCTCAGTTGGTCAAGTGTCTGACTTCAGCTCAAGTTATGGTTTCAGGGTCCTGCGATTGAACCCCGCGTCAGGCTCCCAGCTCAGTGAGGAGTCTGCTTCTCCCTCTGCCCCTCCATCTGCTCATATTCTCAAATAAGTAAAATCTTTTTAAAAAATAGTTTGTTTTCCAATTTTTTATAAATTTAGAAATCCACAAAATATCAACATATAAAAAGTACGTTTCTTCTCTATTGCTTGGTAGCTAGCATCCCCAAAGCAACTCTTTTTTCGCATACATGATATATTAACATTTAGTTAATAATTCCCTGTTCTGGCTAATGTTAAATTTGACTTTTTGCCCCCCCCCCCCAATCACCTATTTTCCTTTACTTTTTGGAGGATAGAAAGTTAATTAAAGCTCTGTTTTTTACACGTAGTCCATTATATAGTTGACCACAAATAGAATTGACTACCAATTGTCTTTTTTTTTTTTTTTTTTTTTTTTTTTTTTTTAGTGGACAAGATGATAAGTGGGATGAAGGTGGAGGGAGGGGAGAAGTAATATGAATTTATACTTAAATAGGTGATGGTAGGTCCTTGTCTGACTAGAGAGTAAACTTGATATTTGGTTAAAGAAACGCCTCTGCATTTGGGAGTGGGTCATTGGAGAAGTACCTCCTAGGAGAGATAAGAAGTCCTTTGGGAAATGGGAGAGACTTCTCATTTGAAGAGAAGAGTATTACCCAGTGGCGTAATATTTTCCGCTTCTTAAGTCTAATAAAGATAATTTCCTTTTCCATTCTTTATTTAGGTTCTGGCTTTATAGGAAAATAGGATATCATGGCTTTAAGGACAGAAATAAATGAACATAAGATGGTTAACAAGGCAATGTGTAGAAATGAAATAAATTACTGTGTAAAATATTCTGTATAATTCAGAGTGCCTGAGTGGCATTAAGCATCTAACTCGTGATTTAGATTCAGGTGATGATCTCAGGGTTGTGAGATCGAGCCCCACATTGCATTGGGCTCTATGTTGAACATGGAGCCTGTTTAAGATTGTCTTTCTCCCTCTGCCCCCCCCACCCTTTCTACCCCGACTCATGTACATGCGTATTTGCTCACTCTTCCTCTCCCCCAAAAAAGAAAATATTCTGAATAATTCTGTTCTTTGTATCCATTGTTATTATTTCTTTCTGTACTAATCTGTGTCTCAACTTTTTCTAGGTCTTCAGAGGTACTGGCAGATAATTTTGGGGGACTTCATATTTGGAGGTCTATAAAAAGGTGACTGAGTCAAATAAATCCTTTACATTTGTTTTAATTTTTATATTGTAATGAGTGTTAAAATCATATGTTGAGATAATGGTGATCATAATACATTCAGCACACAGTCTCAGACATTTTCGGTCTGAACATTGGAAATACAGCAGAGGATAAAACACAAAAATCCTGTCCTTATAGAGTTTATATTATGGTAGAAAGAGAAAATTTAACAAGTAAAAGATATCTTGAAATTGTTCCACCTAGAGACAGAGTTAACTTCTCACTCTAGGACACCTCCCCAAACTGTGCGAGAAGTTAACAAATTCTGTACTACTAACCTTGGTAAACTATACTAAGAGCCTGTTTTCTTGGCTTATAAAACTAGAGTAATTGTAATAAAATATTGCATATTAATCTGTTAAGTCTTCAGTTAATACTTAATAGCTACATTTTAGAGTGTTTTTTAGGGAAGGAATGATTCTCAGGGTTATGTGAGCAGTTTGATTTTGTTAACATTTTTTGTGTTAAGAAGCCTAATAATTTGAAAGCTTTATTTATGTATTTATTTATATTCAGGACTTTATTTAAATTCAAGTTAGTTCACAGATAGTGTAGTATTAGTTTCAGAAGTAGAATTTAGTGATTTTTTTCAGTTGCTTATAACACCCAGTGCTCATTACATCAAGTGCCCTTCTTAATGCCCATCCCCTAATATGAAAGCATTATATAGAAGATGGCCATGCTACTCTATAGTAATTGTCCTCATCAGAAGAGAGGAAAGGTCTTGTAAAACTACACAAAAGGAAGATGAAGGAATTCATGAAAGAGAAATTCATAGCTAAAGTAGTTAATGTTTCTTAAATTTATCAAGTCTAGCTAGGTTGAGATTTCTTTTCTTTTTCTTTTTTTTTTTAAAGATTTTATTTATTTGTCAGAGAGAGGGAGAGAGAGCAAGCACAGGCAGACAGAATGGCAGGCAGAGGCAGAGGGAGAAGCAGGCTCCCTGCCGAGCAAGGAGCCCGATGCGGGACTCAATCCCAGGACGCTGGGATCATGACCTGAGCCGAAGGCAGCTGCTTAACCAACTGAGCCACCCAGGCGTCCCTAGGTTGAGATTTCTATAAGGAATGTGTTAATCATTTATTCACTCATTAAGGAAATTCTGTCTGTAATAATTTCCCCCATTTTTTCATTTTAGAATATCTTTTAAAAATTACTGTCAGAAAAATAACTATCAGCTTAAGTTTGTAAGTTGTCTTCTAGAAGCCTACTTTTTTTTAATGGACATAGAATAGTCATGGCTACGACAAAGGCTTTTTAATGGTGTTGGATAACTTTTTTTATCCTTTACTGAAAATGTAACGTGATTGAAATTCCTTTATTGGTTAAGGGGAGGTATGATTATTATCAGACTCTGTTCTGATTATCAAGCCAGGCATCTTCTGGGATTTTTGGTTTTTGTTTCTTCTTTTTAGTTCAAGTTACAGAGTGATACTAAAATTAGAGGAATAGTTGTAACCAACAATCCCCAATATTTAACTGTTTTTCAAGCATATTTGATAAGTATTCTCTTTTATTATTTGTAGATTTTATTTCATAATCTCCTAGAGGCTTGGAGGGTATACTGCCTAAATTTGTTTGAATATATTGTTAGAGAAAGGAAATATATTATGTGTTAGATGGGCCCAAAGAGTTATATTAGTCAATTCTCTTTTGTAAGCTGTGAAGAAACAATAGGAAATTTTCCCTTTTTCATTTCAGTCCCAAGTCTAGCACTGTGTCACCTCCAGATGTAGCAACTGGTGTCTTGCCTTCATCCAGATCTGGAGAGTCCTAGATCTTAATGAGATCCAGTTCTTTCAAAGTGTAGGTGCCAGAGAGGACTGCCTAGTTGATAGCTGTTTCTAGTATTCTAAAATAACACAAAAAGAGTAATATTATCTTTATGTGTTCTTAAAAATCTTGGCCTGATTCACTGTACATAATTGGTTTTCGTATTGACATTAATTGGCCTTATGTATCAAAATAAGATTTAGGCGTCTTACATGGTATGTCATTTAAAATTTGCACTAATTCTCTGGGTTAACTTAGTATTAGCTTAGTATCACGTACTTCTCATTTCATTAAATTTCTCTAATATAAATAATGGAATAATTATTTGTAAAATTGAGTAAAATAAGTAATTTATTTGTCTTAAGATGAATCAGCAAATCAATCATGACTCTTTTTGTAGTCCTTTATTAACTTGGGTCTTTACCATTCACACTGACTTTCTTCCCTCCCGCAGAAAATATTTCCGGTTTCTTTTTTTTTTTTTTTTTTTAAGATTTTTGTTTCTTTATTTGCTAGACAGAGATCACAAGTAGGCAGAGAGGCAGGCAGAGAAAGAAAGGGAAGCAGGCTCCCTGCTGAGCAGAGAGCCCTATGCGGGGCTCGATCCCAAGACCCCGGGATCATGACCTGAGCCAAAGGCTCAACTCACTGAGCCAGCCACCCAGGCGCCCCATCTGGTTTCATTCTTTAAGTAGTTTAATACAAACCCACTAATGTAAATTGTATAGAGTATACTTTTTTCCACTTTGCACCATACCTTCAAATCTCTTAATATACTCTTTTTTTTCCCCCCTTTATTCAGAGAGAGAGAGAGGAAGGGGTGGTTGGGGGAGAGGGAGAGAGAGAATCTTTTTTTTTTTTTTTTTAAAGATTTTATTTATTTTTCAGCGACAGAGGGAGAGCGAGCGAGCACAGGCAGACAGAGGCAGAGGGAGAAGCAGGCTCCCCGCCGAGCAAGGAGCCCGATGTGGGACTCGATCCCAGGATGCTGGGATCATGACCTGAGCCGAAGGCAGCCGCTTAACCAACTGAGCCACCCAGGCGTCCCAGAGAGAGAGAATCTTAAGCAGCCTCCACACTGAGTGTGGAGCCTGATGGCAGGAGTTGATCTCACGATGCTGAGATCATGACCTGAGCCACTCAGGCATCCTTCAGAGATTTTATCTTTTAAGAATCTCTACACCCAACTTGGGGCTTGACCTTAACACCCCTGAGATCTAGGAGTCACATGCTCTGAGTGAGCCAGGTGTCCCGCTCTCTTAATGTACTTTAACTTTTTATACTTTAGTAATTTGTGAGTCTTTTTCTTCCCAGATTCCACTGGTTATGGTCAGTCACTCAAGGTATCTTACTGCTTTTTCATAGAAGATTTTCTAACCTTTATTATGAAACTACTCTTTACAGTTTATGTTTTTATTTATACTTAGCAGTGGATTGAATTGAAATGAAATGAAAATAAGCATAACTTTTGCTACCTCACTTTGTAGAATATAAATGTAGTATGCAATAAAATAGGTCAATGTGTAGATCCTTTGCTGTACTTGTTTATATTTATCCCTTAAAAGACTTATTAAAAAAATGGAAAAATAGGGGCACCTGGGTAGCTCACTTGGTTGAGTATCACACTCTTGGTTTTGGCTCAGGTTGTGATCTTGGGCATAAGATTGAGCTCCATGTTGGGCTCTGTGCTCAGTGGGAGTCTACTTTAGGTTTCATTCTCCCCATTTCCCTCTGCCCCTCCCCCACTAGTACTGGTACATTCTCTTGCTCTCTCTTTCAAACACCTAAATCTTTTTTAATAAATAAAAATGGGAAAATACTCAGTATCATTTAGATTAAATGTAAAGAACTATCTGGTTATTAGATATGTTCCTTTTCTGTGCAGGATTCCTCATGTCCATAACATGTTGGTTAAGACTGTGCAGCTCACCCCCACTCTCAGAGTGGCCAGTCTCCATTAATTGGACCCGGTGATTTCCACTCTCTGCTGTATTGGACGTCATGAGCATTGCAATCCCTCTGGGAGTCACCACACCAGATACATCCTACTCAGATATGGCTGCTGGATCAGAGTAAGTGCTACTTTCTGGGTAGTAGGTGCGTTACCAGTTTGTGTGGAGATAACTTTCTTATGGGCATCTAATAATAAGTACACAGTATTTTCTAAACCCGAGTCTAACCCACCATAAATGACATTAGGCCTTTCCCTTTTTGCCCGTAGAAGTTGGAGGGGAAAAAAAGAGTTAGAAAGGGGAGGAAAAGAATGGGGGAGGGGGGTTCTTAGTAAATAATATAATTGAATTAAATTTGCACAGTAGTGATTACATTTTCATTTGTTTTGATGGGTGGGGAAGATTGAAATAAAGTAGGTGTCACTACGTGCTTCTGTAGAGTTAATGATTAGTCTGAGGAGGGAGATGAGGAGTTCTCTCCAACTGATTTTCCTTGAAGGCCTCTTCCTATGTACTTCTCACTGTTCTAGAGTAAAGGGGCTAAAACTTTATATGGGCAGGTTACTTAGAACTTCTCCTATTTGGGGTAGAAAACATTGAAAGTAGTGTCATCTGTTTTTATATAATATTCATTGCCTAGAAAGAGGACCTTCAAAATCAGTGGTACCAAACTTTTTTTTCAGCTAAGAGCAGCTTTAGGAATTCAGAGTTTGTCGAAAAGCCCAATCCCTAAAATAGACTCTCAATTCTTGAAGAATTTAAATACCAAATGGCAATGAAGGTAGGCCTTCATTATAAAACTTTATATATTATTCACAGTTTAAAAAATTTTAGCCTTTTGTATCCCTTCTCTTTTAAGTTGTCCAAGATTCCCCCTGCTCACAGATTCCCCCTTTTGTCCTTTTACCTCCCTTGTACCCAATCTTCCTTGCTTACAGAAAGGAAGTGGAAGCCCCCTACCTTTCAAGACGAAGTGGCACTACACCAGGATGTGAAAGTCCAGCGAAAGAGACCCAAGGGGCCTAGGGGGCAGCACACCCCCAGAAGCCAAGTCTATTCCAGGCAGTACCAGGGATTAGGGTCTGGGCTGGAAAAATCCTGGTGTTTTGAATATGTTCAGGTCCAGTTCAGACTCTTGATCCCACAGCCACTTCTTGAGTGAGGTGGGTGTTGCTCTAATTCCCCTGTTTCTCTTGCCATTTTCATAGTCCCTGGGGATTCTTCCCCCTTCAGCAAAGCAAAGCAACTGTACCAGAGCTCTGGGTTCAACTGCATCCCTGATTAATAGTGGTTTTCTTCCTTAAAACTGAGAATATAGTAAAGAGCATGTATATTTTCTTTACAAAGCCACCTAGGATTACTTAACTGTCTGTTGTCTTCCTTAAAGAGGAAGACTTAAAATGGAGCTACTCCAAGAAGCAGTATACTATATTCTTGGGTAGTCAAGAACTGAACGTTTTTGGCCTTATTCCCATATAAAAAGGAAGATGGAGGGTGGGGAATGGGAAGGGTTGAATTGTGTTCCTTCCAGGGCTTTTTTTCCTGTTTTGTTTTGTTTTTATTTTTTTGCATGCCTGAGAGATTCAGTTATGCTGGCAGCTGAGACTTTTCAAGTTTGTAACTGTTTCCCAGATACTTAAAAAAATCTTCCTGCATTAAGAACTATAATTGTATAGTGTTAACAGATTTTTTATAAAGTCAACCACTGCCTCTTACATAAATTGTCTAATAAACTACACAGGTAGACAGCATTAACATTTGTGAAAATTTCAACAGAGAGATTAAAGCAATGACTTTGGGACTAGTAGAGAAAAAAACCTAAAGCAGTTGTTCTTAAAACTGGTGTTTTTCCCAGAGTGCAGAGATGACCACCCATAAATGCTGCTAGGGAGTCAGAAGTATTTGCAGACTTTTGGCCTAAAAACTTGACTCTGATGTTTCTATTTCCTGAAACGTTTTCATCTGTAATTTCTGGACAGATTTCTGATACTGTTGTTACACAGTTACTCATTTAGTATTTCCATAAAGCAAGAGAATCTCAGCAATTAGCTTATGTACCATTCTGTTGCATTTTAGATGATGTTTTAATGTTTCACCATGCATATTCCACTGTCATGCATATTCCGCTGTTCTGGGCACTCTAAAATTAAACTTGTGTGAAAGGCAACATACTAAACTGAGTAAAAGACCTAGACCTTATCTCATGGGATTTTAAATCTGATAATAAGAGGAGGCATTATGCATTTTTTATGTATTTGTAGGAGAACCTCTAGATAATAAAAGCAAGGATTTTTCTGAATTTACAGTTCTCCCATAAATAATTTTTAGACATTTTCCAAGAGGTAGCATTATAGCAGCAGGTTGCATGTTGTATTTAAAACACAATTGATGCAATATCTGTTGTTAGCATGGCTTCCGTGTATGTGCCCAGCTGTCATAGTAGTTCAGACGTAGGCTATAGTTACATTTGCATAAAATGGTTGGCTAATAAGGAAATGTAATCCTAACAGTCTAGATTTTTAATCCATATTTTGAAATAGAGATAAGAGCTGATATATATGTCAAGAAATATTCTAGGAAATTGTAGAGTTATTGATGAATATGTGACTATTTAATTGATAGCCAGCATGAAAATTGCGGAGTTTCCTTTTCAAAAGACATGAGGTTAAATTTTAATACTTGGCACGCATAGCTATATATTAAACGCTGTGCTTTACTAGAAAGTATTGTCCAGTGGGATGGCCTTTTAACCTCCACAAAACACATTTTATTTTTATTCCCTAGACTTGCACATGAAGTGCATATGTTCATATTTACCCAGTTTGGAGATGGGTAAGATACAACCAACATAGCTCCATCTCCATGGCCATCTTTTATTTCATGCCACTTTCCTTTTTCCCGTCCAGAAAAATTCCATTTCTAATAAACAGCTGCCATATTTCACCCCATGTGTTCAGTGGTACAAAATCTCTTATATAAAATATGTACAGCTTTTTTGGAATACTTATTTACTGAATTAACAGTGTTGAAAGTTATTACTTTCTCTTAACTGTCCATCATAGAAACTAAATTCTGCCTTCATTTTATTAATGCTTGTTTCCCTTCAGTTTCATTTAGGAAACCCCACCTGTTTCCTAATACTCAGAGCTGATTGCCTCTCAGTGAGCCATGTCAGATCATCCTTTCTCAAGAATACTGACCTGCATTCTTGATGTACCCCCACCCCAGTTCCCATTTTGCAGACACTCTTAAAGAATAAAATGCATGCACTTCACTAACAGAATACTTTCCTATGTCTAAAGTTCTTCTTCACCTAGAAATTACCTTTGCTGTTATTAATAAGATCCCTTCTCACAGTTTTGGAGCATATAACTGGGTGAGTTGGATATATCTCAGAATTTTCTTTTATCCCTCACTTCTCAGCTGACATTGCACCACATTGAACTGCACAGTTTATTCCTGCCGAATAATGTGTATTGTATACTTGAAAGCAGGAAAAACGTATGTTCCTTAAAGCAAACCACGCATTATTTGATTCCCTAAAAGACCCTTTGATCTCTAAAGCTGAGTTATTTGTGTCCTTGGAGTTTCTGATTTGTGAATCTGTTATAGTTAATTTAAATGACAGATAATCCATTACTGAGTTCAGCAAAGTCATACAATTGCATTCCTTAATAATCTTTCAAAATTCCCAAAAACTTGAATCAAGTAACAATCAGAGTAAAGAGTTCTTATTTTCCCCAAAACTTGTGTTTTGTCCTTTGTTACCTATGCCTTTTTATTATCATGTAAAGGCTTACAATTAAATTTCTAAATGTGAACACATTTATAATGTTTTTATATTAAATTATACTTGAACAGTTTGCTTTCCATTCAGTGAGGGTAAAAAGATATCACACCAGGCTTCTCAACAAGCCTGGCTACTTAAAATTTCATATCATTTTCTTGGAATATAGAATGTTAACCTGGTTTTCCAAACCAGACAGGCACAGTGGAAAGAGCACAGGACTTGGAATTAGACATTGTTTCAAATTCTGGCTCTGTCAGTGTGTAACCTTGGTGATGTCACGTAATCTCACCACCTCAACTTTTCCTTCTATAAAAATGGGGTGCTATTTACCATGTTTACTAGTTGTAGAGTAAATGAATTAATGTATATAAAAGCATCTAGAAAATAATGGGAGATTCAGAATGGTAGCCACAACTCCTCTTATTATTTGTCAATAAACAATAACCTCTGATTACAGTTTTGAATATTTTGAAGTTCTGTGGTATTACCATGCAGCTGTTAAGTAATTGTGTCCTTGATATGCTTGCATGTCATTGATGGATGAGAAATTATTTCTCTAATATTTCAAAGGTTTTTGGGGGTTCATCAAGATGAGAGGTATGATAAATATAAGATGCCATTGTTTTTACCTGTACTTTCTTCAGGGTATCCTGTCTTGGTAGTGAATGGAAGAGGGCCTGGTCCCTGGGGCAGTGCAGAAGGCACTTTCATCATCTCACTCACTGCAAATGTCATGTGAGGTTTCATGGAAGTATTAAGAGATCCAATTAAGAAGAATAGTTCTGAGTCTAAACCAGCCCAGAGTGGCTTCTCTAGGGGAAACTCCCTGCTCAGCTGGTACGTTTGTGTTTGTCATTAGGGACACCTTGTATTCCAGGTGCCTGCCTTGAGACATCTGCCTGTACTGGCTTCATGTTACACACAAATTCACATTTAATAACACTCCTGTTATTTATAGGCTTAGTTATGTTAATCAGATTGTTTCACTGAGTTCCTTCTCTTATTCTAGTGGCTGGTGGTTGTGGAAAGAGGAGGGGTTAGCATGGGAAGTTAAAAGGCTTAGTTTAAGGGAAGATTAGGTGTTATGCTATCATGCGTTGCTTTTCGCCTTTGTGCAGCCCTGAATCTGTGGAGGCTAGTCCAGCAGTTAATGAGAAGAGCGTGTATTCCACTCATAATTATGGGACCACTCAGAGGCATGGGTGTCGAGGACTGCCTTATGCTGTGAGTATGCATTTGTTTCTCTCCAGAGCAGTGATCTTCCTGGAGTGTAATCCATTCTTATACATTGTGACTTTCTTGAAATGTTTATATGCAGCATGACGAAGTTGCCCCTTTTGCACTTCCCTGCCTCCAGCGGACGTCTAGCCCTGCATCATTGTTCTTGTTTTTATGTCCCAGTTGACCTTGGCATTTTGTTTTATCACTTTCCTGGTTGAAGCCAAAAAACAAAGGGTACTACTTTCTTCTTTCTTTCCATATGTACCATACTTTAGGGGAGAGAGGGGCCAGTGTTTGGACACTGTTGATTTAAAAAATCTTATTTTCAGGATCATAATTACGGAGCCCCTCCTCCTCCGACACCTCCTGCTTCTCCCCCTGTCCAGACGATCATCCCTCGTTCTGACCTGAATGGCCTGCCGTCGCCCGTAGAGGAACGCTGTGGAGACAGCCCGAACTCGGAAGGAGAGACTGTTCCTACCTGGTGTCCTTGTGGTCTTTCTCAGGATGGCTTCCTTCTCAACTGTGACAAGTGCAGGTAAGATCATGCTCCATCGCAGTTTAAGCCTGGGTTGCTGGGATTAGGGTTTCTTGTTAGTAGGGAAAAGCTCAAAGTATTCTTTCTTGTGTTTGTTAATGTAGATGATTCCTTAGTGCTCCTTGGCTCGAATTCTCTGCACTAGGTGAGAATTGCTGACAACAAGGAATGAGAGATTGATGTTAAAGCTATTGAATTTGATATGAAATTTAATGTCCTGGAAACATTTGGTAGGTGGGAGGAAGGGGGTAGTATATGCAGAGACACTTCTCCCATGTGTGCAACGATGTGCTGCATGCTGTTGGAAGGACTACTTTAAGTTTATTTTCCCTCTTTAGGGGAATGAGCAGGGGGAAGGTTATTAGACTTCATCGGCGGAAGCAGGACAACATATCAGGTGAGCCAAAAATGGGTTGGGCCCATGTTTTGACAGATAAATATTTTGTGATTTAAACAATCATCTCCAGAACTCCTGTTAAGTCCCCATGGTCCCAGCTTTTCATGGAAAGAGAAAGCAGTTCTCTCACACAACTTCTGTGTAATTGTCTTGTTGTGAATTAACATCTCCAGAAACAACATTTTAGCCCCAGAACAATCAAAATATTCCTTGTGAACACACATACCAAATAAGACAGATCCTTTTTCTGTGTTAACACATTGAGATGATGGAGCTTGGGGACTTCGTACAAGGGGGGAAAATATATCAATATCGAACAGAGTTTCTCTGCTTGATGCCAGTGATACAGAAAGAACCTTGTTTTCCTAAGAAAGGTGGGTATTTTTGTTCTACACATGACAGAGTTAATGGAAGTTAATGACTTCCTGAATATGGACAAGGAATAAAGATAAAGTAATAAGCTGCTTTTAAAATGCGCTTGGACACTATTTGTACAACATGTGAACTATGAAATAACTTTTTTTCAGGTGGGGATAGCAGTGCAACAGAAAGCTGGGATGAGGAGCTTTCTCCTTCCACTGTGTTGTACACAGCAACACAGCACACACCTACAAGCATCACCTTAACTGTTAGAAGAACCAAACCCAAGAAGCGGAAGAAGAGTCCAGAAAAGGGTCGCACAGCAGCAAAGACGAAGAAAATCAAGGTATGGAGGGTAAAAGTATCTTAAATAGAAATATGTCTGAAATAGCCCAAATTTTGGACCAAGAAGGTGCCAAAATTCTTTTAAGAAGTGTTTGATCCAGATGTTTGAAGGGCCACTTTTGCTCTGCTTGCAAAAATCGGCTAATCTATGTTGTGAACATGTAGATCAACCTCTCTTCTGCCACTCCATACCATCACAACTGGCACAAAGTTTCTTCTACTCCAAACCCCATCCCAGATATGAAATCCCAGCCCCATCTGGCCAAGCCTGTATGTGCTGCAGCCTCCGATCTAGGCTTCCACTATCCTTCATTATCTCCCCACCTCCTCAGTCCCGAGGCATAGTCTGAAATTCTTATCCTGCCCACCTCATGTCATTGGGTTGATTGTTTTTTCCTTGTTTGAAAAAAGTTAGGAAACATCTCTTGAATGATCTAGGCTTCCTCAGTGTTGTGGTCACTTTCCTGTATTCTCAACTAAAAGGTCTCCAGGAGAAACCTCTTCTATTTTGTGTTCTTTCTTCCCCATCGTGGCAACTTTGTTGCTCCTAGGTGACTTGTCCACCCCTTGTTAAGGGGATTGGTCTTTGTTTTCTTCTTAATTTCAAAACTGGTAAATCTGCAACCTTACAAAATGTTTTTATTTACTTTTTCTTTTGGTGTCAGGGGTGCATATAGGATTTAAGTGATGCATGCTCTTCCCTGTTAATTACTTAGATTCACCATGGAAAGAGAGTTAGCCTCAAAGTTCACTGGCCTTGAGCTACCCCTTTTCTTGATAATAGTGTGGGGGTTTCCATTGTATTTGTTACCTAGGGAAAGGGGACAGACTAAAACACTAGTTCTTGCCTTAGTTTTAGTCTCAGATAGGTATAACTGTCATTCTTGGTACCAAGTTTTGTTTTGTTCTACTTGTTTTCCTCTTTGGGATAGGCATTTCGAGAGGGATCCCGGAAGTCCTTGCGGATGAAGGTAAGGGGTATTCTTCCCTGATGCTGTGTTTTATACTTCACTGTGATCTTGCATTTTGGTCAGCTTCTTTCCTGACATTGATGGTCTGGGAATCTTGGACTCTGCTTTTTGTTAGTTTGTAATTGTTGCCATTCAGTTTTCGTAGAGCCTTTCTCCAAAGTAGGTTTTCTTGGCCATTTTCTGAAATATTTTCCCTTTCTGTAATCAGCCTTATTTACTGGTTTTTCATTAGCCGCTTTTCTGAGGGGAGGGGGTGGTGACAGGGGGTAAGTGACATTTACTAAACAAAATGGGGGCTGATGTTTTCTGTCCTTCTAATTGGCCTCCACCTCAGGACTGAGGTTTTTCTAGTGATACAGGATCTCTTTTGCACCCACCCTACCACCACGTGGGCTTTAATAACCAGTTGGGAGGGTAAATTTCATCAGTTAGGAAGGTAGTATTATCGATAGGAATTACTCTTACTGGAATTACTTCGTTTTGAACTGTATTTTTCCTGGCATATCTATTTGGTATAGAAAATTCAAATGATGCTAATGTGTTTCTTTTCTTCAGTTACCAAATGAAAGTGCTTATAAGGTGATACTGGGTGGTGGTTGGAGAATTGAGAAATTACCTGCAATGGTTTAAAAGGACTTTTAAGTACTGGGTGATAAAGAACAGTTTTCCCAAAGGAGATTTGATTTTACTGTCTGGTATCTTCCTTTACCTGTGTATATGTAGGAGGACAGCATAGCTCCCAGTTGGCTTCAAAACATTTACTTAGAATTAAAATCTAATTTAATTCTGTAAGAATTCCTATCCCTAAATGTGTAAATAATAAAAAGCAGGATCTTTGCTGTTGACAGTTATATGGCATAAACATTAAAATCTTAATAAGGAAAAGTTTTATTGAGGTTAATATACATAAGTATATACGGAACACTAATACAGCTGATGTTAATATAGATCATAGGTGACCCTTTATCTAAAATTTGAAGGCCTCACCTAGCATATACCTATAAAACAGACTTGTACATATCTGTAAAAGCAATGGGAGAGGACTCGGAGCCCAAGAGCATCAGAGTCCTGGGATGTCTTGTAACACAGCCTAATTGTTTTGTTTTGTTTTGTTTTGTTTGCTAGATTTGTCTTCTGTAAGAAATTACAATTGCCTTAACTACCCCCTTTATTTTTGTCTCATTTGCTTAGAGGGTATCTTAAATAGACTTATGGGGCAGACATAGCCCTGACCACAGCTGTTAAGGCCTTTTCTCTTTTATCAGCTAACTGTTTAACTTGCCTCCAAGTGTTCAAAACCTTTTTGAAAGCTATTGACTGGCTGCCTCTGAAAACTATTTATAAACCTCTCTACATGTAAATACTGCTTGCATTTTCAAGATGTTGACAGTCCCACAGGCATCTTAAAATTTAAATAATAAAAATAATTAGTTTATTTTGATTCTCAAATCAGAATTCTAAGTTGGGTTACAAATTTGTACTCAATTCATTATTAGTAAGAACACCACCAAAGATTTGGTTGGGAGCCATAAGGATGGGAAGTATTTATCATTTAGATTTCTAATCCCAAAATCAAAAGCTTGTCTACTGGAGACTGCTCTTAACCACTAAATGCCAGTAACACATACACCCAGGTGTGGTAGTCAAAAATGACTTCAGATACTACCAAATGTCTTCTGGGGACAGAAATCACCTCTGCTTGAGAACCATGCTTTAAACACATGGAGTTAGGTTCTTGAGTACCCAGAAGAACGGGAAAGCAGAGTAGTGAGAGTTGTATTAGTGAACAACAGCTAGTAATGTGACAGTGGCTTCCAGTATACGTTAAGTGTTGTAAGTCATTGGTTTAGTGATCACTACTGAATGCTTAAACCTGGGAATACTGTTTGGGCTCTCCTATTCCCCAGTCTGATAAGCACTCTTACATCTCAGGTTTTGAACTTTTCTATTGCTTAGCTGCTCCTGATACCTCAAGCAGGTGATACTGTGTTCTCAGTGTGTTGGCCTCAGATGTTTCTTAGATTCCTTTGTATATTGTTCATTCTTTTGGACTCTGGTGAGAAGGGTAGAAAACAAAGGCATTAATTTTTTCCTTTCATTTCCCTGTTCCTTGGGGAAAGGATGGTAGACAAAAGTCAATCATAAACAATGACACAAAAGTGAAAGAAAGCAGTTGTGAAGGTAGACTTAAATTTTTACTGTGTCATTCATGGAAAGTATATCTTAATGCCTCAATTTGCAACTTGAGTGTGGACATGGATTTGCAAGTAGCTTTGGTACTATGGTATCTTTTCCTTCTAGTCATCACTGTTACGATATCATCACTATCAGTGTTGGTTTTGTTTTCTGATGATGCTTTAAGTCTTTAACACCATGGAGGAGAACATGTGTCAGATTTAAGCTGTGTCTCTGTATCTCAGACATAAAAACTGTCTGTTTAGGATAATGTTATTGAGATAAAATAATCTTTTCTCAGTATTGTCACCATAGAAGACAGTGGTTTTCCTAGAGAAGTAGAGCAGAGTACCTCCCAGCATTTACTACACTCCATTTATGCACTCCCCTGCCCCCACCTTACCTCCTCAGAGTACAGCTGTATAAACTGTCAGAAATAGAGTGCTAGAAAGATATACTCCAAAATGATGACTTTGTCTCTGGGAAACAAGATCACGGGTTATTTATTTGGGTCACATGTATTTTTAGAATGAACATGTATTAATTGCATAATGAAAATAATAAGTCACAAAAAATTCTGGAGAGTAGTGAAATAATGGTACACAGATACTCTAAGTATTGAAATTTAAACTAATCTTTTGAGGTTTATCTCTTGCTTATTTTTATCAAGATTTTCTTATGAGCTTGATGTCATTCTTCTGATAAGAACAAAATTTCTGTAATTTAAAAATGGTCATAAATTCACAGTGATGTGATAGGGACTATCATCCAGATTAATTTCTCACTTTGTTAATGAGGAAACGAAGCTTGTCTAAGAAGTTGTGCAAGGCCTTGCATCTCATTGGTAATGAAACCATGATTAGAAGCCAGATCCCCTGACTCCCAAGCCATTACTCTTTTATGCCATACCAACTGCCAAGTGAAAATAAATTTTCTCTGAAATTCATCCTGTTTTCCCCCCATTTTTATGCATGGATTTTCCTAACCTACATGACCTTTGTTCTCTACAGAATTCTCCTTCTGAAGCACAGAATTTAGATGAGAATACAACTGAGGGATGGGAAAATCGGATAAGACTATGGACTGATCAGTATGAAGAAGCTTTCACTAATCAGTACAGTGCAGATGTACAGAACGCCCTTGAACAACATCTACATTCTAGCAAGGAATTTGTGGGCAAACCTGCTATTTTAGACACTATTAATAAGACTGAATTGGCCTGTAATAATACAGTTATTGGTTCCCAAATGCAGGTAAGGATCAAAGGGTGAAAGACTCCCTATAAGTAGTTGAGACTTTTCTGAACCCAAGAAGAAGGCATATAATGGGATTATCATTTCTTTCAAATAAATGAACCCCTTAGAATAACAAATTAGCCAGCTCTTGAGCATCTTTAATTAAAAGCAAGTTGTAGTGACTGGAAACTGTCTGGATACATATTTGTAAAGTATTAATTAAAAATGGGTAAAATAGGATAAGAAATTTTATACAGCTTAAGTAGGAATTTTCAAGATTAATAGAAAGCTAAGCTTGTTCTTTATCATTCTTGCAGTAGATGTAGAGCTACTAAAATCTTAATCATATCTTTTTCTATGATATTTTTTTGTCTTTTGTGAGGGACCAGGTTACTGTTCTGTTAGGTGGAGCTTTGTCTCCTAGAAACTTTGATCATTCAGAAATTTCTTAGTTTAAAAAAAACAAACAAGCAAAAAACTTCATTTTTGAGCTAAACAGCATACAAATAAACCCTAAAGATATATTGGTGCCTTTTCCTCAATTAGGAAATACTTGAAGTGTCTGCTGTGCTGCTGTAGCTGTTGTCTAATGTTAATTCTCTGGTTTTACATAGCTACAGCTGGGAAGAGTCACTCGTGTTCAAAAGCACCGGAAGATCCTGAGGGCTGCAAGAGACTTGGCTCTGGACACGCTTATAATAGAGTATCGAGGGAAAGTCATGTTACGACAGCAATTTGAGGTCAATGGGCATTTCTTCAAAAAGTAAGAACATCATTCACAGAGCAGTGAGGGCTGAAGTGGGCCTGGCAGAGTGGTATGGCTGTATAAAAACCATCCTGGTTGATAGAATGCTCTTGGGGAAAATATTAGAGCTCATATAAGCTCACACCTGTCTGCTATTTGTAGAAAAGTGCAAATAAATCTGCAAATTGTTTAATGTATAAAGTGGTAATGACTCCTTTCCAAGCCAAGCATTCCTTGCTTTGTGCTTATTCTTTAATCAAAAGCAGACAAACATGTGATGTTTTTCAAGTTCAGGCATTGCAAAGGACTGCTGCCTCTTCTGTCAGCATATGCTTCATATTTGAGGTGAAGTCATGGGGTGGCCCTTTTTATTTGTGTTGAGAATTACAGGAATTTCAATTATATCCCTTAGACCATACCCCTTTGTGCTCTTCTACTCAAAATTCAATGGTGTAGAGATGTGTGTGGATGCACGTACTTTCGGTAATGATGCTCGGTTCATCAGAAGATCATGTACACCAAATGCAGAGGTAAGATTTCTGTAGCAACTTCTCTTTGAATGGAACCATCAAAGGACAAGTCAGCTGAAGAGGCAGTCTGAAAACTTCACCCAGATTAAATTAAGGTCTGTAGATAATAATTACGATCTTTTATCATAAGAGACCCCCAAAAAAGTAATGATGCTTTTATTCTCACTGGATGGGGGCAAGGAATGGGTTTCCTTAGCAAAGGAAGAAATGGGAAAAAGCAAATTTAGTATTTGCTAAGGAGAAAGAGCTAGACTGGATAAGAAATTGAGGTCATATTAAAGAAATTACTGTATGATAGAAGATGTCATTAGGCCAAACTAAGCTGTGTGGTTGCACTTTTTTAGATTTTAGGTAATAATGTTTTAGATTTAGATTCTAGACATTTCTAGAATTCATTACTCAGTGCATAATCAGCACAGCTACATCAAATGCAGCAAGAAAATCCACAGAGCTTTTAACAGGCTAAGGAATTCTCTGATGCAACTGAAAACAGCTTTAAAGTGTAGAGATCTTACCCCAATTTCTAATATCTCAAGGTTTCTCCATTTATTTCAAGAAGTATCATAAATTTTCAAACAGTTAATGTGTAATAGTTTCATGTGAAATGATGGAGTTACGTAAGTAAGACTACTATAACTTATGTGGAGAAAAATTATTTTGTCAAAAGGTTTTTTTCTGTCTTATGGAAAGTTCTTGGTCTTTATGGTAAATCATCAACTGTAAGCCATGTTCACACAGGTGCGACACATGATTGCAGATGGGATGATTCACCTGTGTATCTATGCGGTGTCTGCCATCACCAAAGATGCTGAGGTCACCATAGCATTTGACTATGAGTACAGTAACTGGTAAGACCTACAAAATCTTTCCTACATGAATGGTCTTGTTGTACATATTAGGCTCTTCTGTTGGTCTGTTTTTGTTCCTTGTCATTTCCTTTTTTTAACCTAAGCTTTTCTCATGTAATACATTTTTGGTCTATAAATTGTGTAGGGAAAGACAGACTTAGGGCAGCTTTTTCTAGAGATTCAAATACATAGTATGTCATTGCTCACCGGTCTCCTAACCAAAGGTATTTTGTCTTCATAGCTCTATAGAAAAACAGTAAAAAGGGTAGGAATGAGACACCTAGAAATTGCAGTAGCATCTGTTGTTTTGCACACAGTGCTATTCCAGGGACCATACAGAATGAAAATTTTAAAATTTGCCCCATCCATTCAAACCATGTAAATCTATCTGAATGTGACAAGGCAGAAAAGCAGAAATGGCAAGTTACAGATAAATACGTGATAGACTTTATAAAATGGATGCTTTTTCTCCCTTGGTCCTCTCAGGCCAAAAAGGTTATATGGTAAATCGATGTTCAGCCCAGGTAGGAGAAGAAAAGGAATCAAGAATAGTACGGAATCAGTAGTTCAAAAGTGAGGAGAAGGTGGAGGTAGATGCAGGGGAAGTATAGCCTTTGCAGCCCCTATTACTGATTCACTGCCCACTAAGTATCATAAAGGTATTAAGGGAGAACTGAACTTTGTGAGGGTTTCTTTCTTTTCCACTGACCATATGTAGGGGAAGAGTTAGGGTTATATAGGAAAACACTGAATATTGAAAAATATTCACAGGACTCTAATGTGTCTGTTTAACTTATTCCAAGATAATACTAGAGGAAATCACTATACTGTTACTCCAAGAAAATGAATGGACAGTATGACTGATTTTGCAAGGCTGCTGACACGGTCACTTTCGGTTGTTTCTTTGGAGCAGTAATTATAAAGTGGACTGTGCGTGTCACAAGGGGAACCGGAATTGCCCTATACAGAAAAGGAATCCCAATGCTGCAGAACCACCACTCCCACCTCCTCCAAGCTTACCCACCATCGGAGCAGAAACAAGACGCAGGAAAGCACGACGGAAAGAGCTAGAGATGGAGCAGCAGAATGAGGCTCCAGAAGAGGATAACAGTCAGCAACCAGAACAAGTTCCTGAAAAAGCAGTTGTGTCCAGTGACCATGAGGTAATCTTTCCCTCATCAGAGAATGTTGCTGTGGTTCTCATTCTCTGCAAATAAAGAGGATCCTGGTTGCCACATGTTGTTATATGTAGGGAGTCTATGATAACATTTAATGCCTTTCATATCAAGGTGGGGGTGACATTATTCATTGTCTTTCCTTTTTTTTTTTTTTTTTAAATAATGTCAAGAACATTCTCTCAACTGCTTTCCACGTTTCAGTTCAGAGAATAGTGCTTATCATCTGCATTTACTCACATGAATAACACTAGAGGTTGTTTCTAGAGAGTTTTAGCTACTAAGAAAAAACAGACTGCTTTTTCTTAGAGCCTGAGTACAGCTGAATATCACCTCTGTTTTAAAGGAAATAGACAATCCAGAAGAAAAAGCAGACGAGGAGAAAGAAGAGGTTACAGATGACCAGGAGAACCCAGCTCATAGCAGAAGGGTGGGTACCTTCTAACATCCTTTGGTTTCTGCTACCTATGGCTTACAAACCCCTTCTCTTCTGAGTTTGTATCTGCTCATTCTTTAACAAAATACTATACCATCACCTGCACAAGACAATTGGGGCTTTTTTTTTTTAATAAAGGAGATTTTATTTATTATTTATTATTTATTTACTTTTTATCACACACACATACAGTAGTTATCTAGTGACTTATCTAATCTTTTTTTTTTTTTAAGATTTTATTTATTTATTTGACAGAAAGATCACAAGTAGGTAGAGAGGGGGCGGGGAAGCAGGCTCCCCACTGAGTAGAGAGCCTGATGTGGGGCTCAATCCCAGGACCCTGAAACCATGACCTGAGCCAAAGGCAGAGGCTTAACCCACTGAGCCACCCAGGCACCCTAATGATGGTCTTAAGAGGTTTCTTTTTTTTTTCCTTTTTAATGATTTTATTTATTTATTTGACAGACAGATAACAAGTAGGCAGAAAGGCAGGCGGGGGTCGGGGGGTGGGAAGCAGCTCTCCATGGATCAGAGAACCCGACGCAGGGCTTGATCGCAGGACCCTGGGATCATGACCTGAGCCAAAGGCAGAGGCTTTAACCCTCTGAGCCACCCAGGTGCCCCGGTCTTAAGAGATTTCTTACTAACAATCTAGTTTCCAAAGAACTGCCTGGTTGGAACAAAATACATGTGTTTGGGCTCCTTGTTCTGGACTTGTGTGAGTTTTGACATAAAAATAAAACTTTTGGTCACATGGATTCAGAAGTTCTACTCTTTTGCTGAAGTCAGCCATGTTTAGTTGTGGTCCTGAGAAGTGAAAGATCTACTTTGTTACTTTTGAATTCCAAAAATGAAGAGAAAAAAAAATATTTTTTTTTTTGAAAAATTGGCTTTGATGGTTTTTTCTTTTACATTAAAAACTTTCAAATTAATTGACCATTTTGAAAAGTTTAGATTTGACCTTGCCTTTTTCTACAGCTCTTTCCAACATTTAAAAAATGTTTGGGGGCAGGCTGGGTGGCTCTGTCAGTTAAGCTTCTGACTCTTGGCTTCAGCTTAGTTCATGGCCTCAGGGTCAAGAGATTGAGCCCCTCATTGGGCTCTGTGCTCACTGTAGAATCTGCTTAGGATTTTCTCTCTCTCCTTCTGTCCCTCCCCCACTTGAGCTGCTATCTCTCTCTCTCTGTCTCTCACTCTCTAAAACAAAATCTTTTTTTAAAAAACAAATGTTTTACTTTTAGTTTTTAACTTCTATTCTCTAAAATATATGTATCATTTTACTGGCAAATGTCTTTAAATGTGTATGAATTTCCATTAATAACATTTCTGAAAAAATACCCCATGTCCTATTGAAGCTTCCTTCTATGTTAATGGCATTTCTTTCTAGACCCGGGAAGATAGGAAGGTCGAAGCCATCATGCATGCTTTTGAAAACTTAGAGAAAAGAAAGAAGCGGCGGGATCAGCCCTTGGAACAAAGCAGCTCTGACGTAGAGATTACTACCACCACTTCAGAGTCGCTTGTGGGAGAAGAGGCAAAAACTGAAGCCCCTGAACCCGAAGTTAGCAACCCTGCTTCAAACATGGCCATCCCAAGCACCCCACAGAGTGTTGGAGTGAACACCCGGAGGTCTTCCCAAGCAGGGGTAAGAGATGAAAAGACTCCAGGCCTTAGACATCCTTGCTTTTGCAAATGTCAGTTATCTATCTTGTGGAATAGTCAAGAACAGCATTTTCAACTTCACCTTATAATGCAGTAAATAAAGCCATTTTCATCAGCTAATTTGTGGAATTCAGGGAGACAGAATTTGACAAGACACTTTTAGACTAGAATATAACTTCATACTATTTCTGCCAGATAAAACTGTGGTGAATTCGGGGCACCTGGGTGGCTCAGTGGGTTAAAGCCTCTGCCTTCGGCTCGGGTCATGATCCCAGGGTCCTGGCATCCAGCCCCGCTTCGGGCTCTCTGCTCAGCGGGGAGCCTGCTTCCCTTCCTCTCTCTCTGCCTGCCTATCTGTGATTTCTGTCTATCAAATAAGTAAATAAAACAAAACAAACAAAACTGTGGTGAATTCATAAAAGTCATTCCATATCTCTTTTGGCTTTTCTGTATAGCACAATTAGGCACCTGACCTTTCGTAGGATTCTCAGGATAAACTCATCTTTTCTTTCCTTACCCTGGCCATGAATTCACAGCCTAAGCAAAACCTCAGTACCTAGGAAAGAAATAAAGGAAAGAATTACCTTCCCTGCTAAGAACCCTAAAATAGGTAGCTACTTTGAGTTGACTTTTGACCTATTTTATAAATACTTACTAGTAAAGAAATAGATATCTGCCTATAGGCTCCTTGGCTGATGGTGTAAGTTTTTAAGGATTACATTTGAGATTAGTGTTTCTAAATACTAAATATTCAGAATGCTTAAAGTGAATAGAAGACTGGATGGAGTGTTTGCTGATAAGAAATTTCTGGTAAGCATTTAACTCTGCTCTTACAGGATGTTGCTACAGAAAAACCAGTCCCCAAGCCACCTCCAGCAAAGCCTTCTAGGCCCCGACCGAAGAGTCGAATTTCTCGGTACCGGACCAGTTCAGCCCAAAGACTAAAGCGTCAGAAGCAGGCCATTGCACAACAGGCAGAGTTGGCACAAGCTGCCTTGGAAGAAGGAGGAAATAATAGCTCTGTAACTCCTACTGAAGCTGGAAATATAGACAGTTCAGGAGAAAACAGGCAATTAATGGGGTCTGACCCAACTGTGGTATCAGTTACTGGATCCCATGTCAACCGTGCTGCACCTAAATACCCCAAAACCAAAAAGGTAAGTCACAAATACATCTTCATAAGTCTGGTCTGGCAAGGGCTGTCTTAGTATGGTGAGAAGACCTATAATCTCCAGAAAAAGGCAAATCACCTAAGTATTATTAGATTGAAAAGTTGTAGATAAAAAGCTTTGAGGCAGCAAGCTGAAACCATCCTACTACCTTTCTTTTGTTCCCTTAACTTTTAGGCAGAGCTTAAATTGCTGATAACTGGAATTATTGCTCCCTTAATGATCATGGAGAGGGTAAAGGAAGATATTTTTGCATTCTGAATGCCTAGTTCATACTTTCTGCAGCTGCTATATCTACCTCTGTCCTAGTTTCTAGCTGAGGTTTGTCTTTGAGCTACACTGCTGCTTCTGGCTTTTACATCTACAGCACCAACTAATGATCTCTTTTCTACCTTAGTATCTAGTTACAGAATGGTTGAATGACAAAGCAGAGAAGCAAGAATGCCCTGTTGAGTGCCCTTTACGTATCACCACGGACCCAACTGTACTGGCAACAACCCTGAACATGTTACCCGGTCTTATCCATTCCCCATTAATTTGCACCACCCCCAAACACTACATTCGCTTTGGCTCACCCTTTATCCCTGAGAGACGTCGAAGGCCCCTTCTGCCTGACGGCACCTTCAGCTCCTGTAAAAAGGTATGTCTGTGTTTATGTGGGTTTTTTGTTTTTTTTTGTTTTTGTTTTTGTTTTTTTAACCTAGGATGCCTCTAATTGTGGCATACCTAACATTTTCTAGATAGCCACTCTCTGCCCATGTGAGTTTATAATGAGTTAGTTTCAGCCATGAATAGTGATGCACCAAGAGTCAGTGGGACGAAAGCGGGATGTATACTACATTTTTGGTGCTCAGTTTGTGAGGATTCACTGTTGTCTTTTCCGAGAGCCCTTGAAGTACTGAGTTGAGAGCACACAGCAGTTGATGACTGGGTAGGGAGGGATGTTCTGTGAGTGCTCTTGTGGTATTGGTTAATATGTCCATTTGTGATTACCGTGTGAGATTGGGCCCCAGGTACTCTAGAGCACTATTGCGTAAGTAAAAAATGATTGAATTGTGATCCGAATTAATTTAATTACATTCTCATTTGAGTGAGAGTAGAGGAAAGGTCCTGTTACAATTGGCATATTTTCTGATACTTGATCAAATAACAAGTTGGACTGTTTATTCCCTAGTAAATACGGAACCTGCTCTAAAATTTTCTCTCTCTCTCTCTTTTTCTCTCTCTATCCCCCTCTCCCCACTGTCTCTCTAGTTACATATTGTTTTTGGATCTAGTGGCAGTAGTGTTTGTTGGTTGTTTTGGAATGCTCTTTTGGAATTCCCAGAAGCCCTGCATATTTTCCAAAGATGTCTCTTGGGAATAGATCACTTCCCTCAGACCTATAATGTCATTTTTATGTTTCTAGAAGTTTAGGACACCCTTTCATTTGGTCTTCCTTTGAGGTAGAGTCTGTTCCCTGGAACACCCTTTTCTCTTATCCTCAGATCTGGATTCAGGCTGCCTTCCTCAGTGTCTGCCATTGCCCTCCTCCACTGGCATCACGTACATGAGGATGCTGCATATAGATTATTTGATGTGATGAAGTCTCCAACTCCAGGCAGGTCTTCCCTGACTCCTCCAAACTTAAAGCTTTACTCTTTTCCCAAAGAGCAGAAATTATTTCTTGGGGGTGGGGGGTATGAAAGATGAGATAAAGTGGTGTGGGATATGGAGGGGAGGAGGGCAACAGGGTTCTGTGCACAAGGAAGGGCACTACCACTGAATGGGTAGCATACACTGAAGAAAGTCTTCCTAACTGCACATCTTATCTAAGTATTTGAGTCACTTAATGGTTTATTTGGGGGAAATTCCCAAGTAGAATAACCCCTAAGGAGAAATTTGACCATGAGATCTTTGCCAAAAGAGAGGCTTTGTAGATAACACAATCACATGAATAACTTGCAGGTGTCAAGAATAAAAACAATGACATCTTTCTTAAGAAAAAAATACAACTAGAAATTAGTGATATAGGAGGGTTGGGTCTCTGGGGATAAATTTTTATACCAAGTCACTTACCTTGGATCTCAGAGATCATCTGAGAAGGAAAAAAATTGTTTGCATTTGATGAGCATTATGATTAACCTTATTCTGTAATAATTAGAGAGTTAATTCTGGTATGGCTTGCAAAACTAATCTTCGTATTACATTTAGCTCAGTCCCTCATAAAGAGTAACAGCTCAAAATCTTAACTACATTTTTAGAGTGCTGTTGAACAATTAGAGAAGGTGCATATAATGGTCTTTAGTTTGGAGGAGCAAGTCAGGTGATGACTACATATATATGTGTATACACACACACACACACACACACATGCACATACATATATATAAGAGAAGTTCTTTCTTTTTGTTCTGTATTTGGCTGGACATAATACTAGACTTCTAAGGATATTAACTATTGAAGCATCTTATCAAGCCAGACAATAGGATCTCCTGTTTTGCTCCTTTGAGAAGGGTGGACAGTTATTTAGTACAGACTGATAATGAAGTCTGAATTGTAAGCAGTATGGAGTAGCCTCTTGAAATGCCACCTTAATCATTCTGAAGCCAGGTTATAATCTTTCTCTTCCTGTCTTGATTTTCTAGCTAGCACAGTCTTGTAAAAACCAAAAACATGTACAAATTTGATTTCAAATCTGATAGAAAATCCATTTTTTAGAACTCTTTTACCTCATATAATTTAGGACTTGTATCTATAGCTCATCTTTGTTATCTCCACTGGCAACAGATAAAAGTCCCATTTAACTCATGTCCATGTTTTGTTCTCCAGATGTGTCTGACCATCCTTAGTCTTGTTTTCTGCAGGCTCTGCTCAGGCACTTTTATCTCTGTATGTCATATTAGTCTTCAGGAAGAGTTCAGGATATGTATGCTGAATTATCTAGCAAGATTATCTCACTTAAATTTGGTCTTTAAAATTTTTATAAGTTTAGATCTGAATTAGTTTAAGTCACAGGCTTAATATCTGCTGTTAACATACAGATGATATTACAGAATAAAAATTTCACTCTTTATAGCACAAAATTAATGAAATTGGGTCTTTTTACCTAGAAATTGAACTCTGCTTTATTCTAGGTAGGGATGGAAAAGAGTTATTTTTTAGATCGGTTAGAAAGGATGCTTCCTTCAGTCCTAGTGTAGGACCTAAGAAGATCTGCATTATTCAACAAAATTGTTACAGTTTTCTGAAAATTTCTCAGAGAAGAATATGTTAGATGAGAAAAAACACCCTTGGGATTAGTTAGAGCAGTGTGTATTGCTGATAGGCATACTGTTTCTTATCTGATTAAAGGATGTAAAAGCCTCATAAATAAAAACTATGTAAAGTTGCATGTTGTATACTTGCATCCAGATTCTTAGGGTGTTTGACAGAACATTTTTGATGTCCCTGGAGTCTCTAAATTATAATGAATCAGAGTTCTTAAAAAGCACATTATGGCTTATCTTGTATTGGGTCTTCACTTACTTTAGAATGGAAACATTGATTTTATGAGTGGCCAGTAAGCCTTTCAGTAGTGTCCTTCTTTGTTCTCTCTAAATCTTCTCTAAGCTTCAACTTTGTAGGTATAATATATGTGGGTTAGAGGGGGATTGGTCTTCCAGATTTCTTAGAAAACCATCCTGACTGAAACTGAAATACTTAGCTTTGCATTGGTATTTTATTGTGTATACAGGAAGAGGTTATATAATCTGTGTATCTCTATACGCAGTTGAACAGGTCCTCACTGAATATGTGCACCTGGTGATAAGCTATGAGCTTTCTTCATTTGCATTCTCACTTAGCCTTCGTGACAACCCTGTGAAGTTGGGTTATTGGCCTTGATTTATAGGTCCAGAAACTTTGGCTGAGACGGATTGCCCAGAGTTAGGCAGCAGCCATATTTCAGTCCAGATCTTTGGACTCCAAAACCCAAATTACTTCTTTGCTCCTTCCCCTTGGTAATGAGACTTGTCAAAACATTTCTCTTACCTATCTCTGAGCTTCTGAAAGACCCTTATACAGAGTTTTGGAGGAGGAGTAAGTATCCTTTTGACCTAATAACTGTACCTAGAACTGAGGTGCTAAGGGTATCTAAAATTAATTTGTTTTTATGGAACTTGTTAGTTACAAGCAAATGTTCAAGTTCTTTTTTTTTTTTTTGTCGACTCTAAAATATTACATAGACATACAGAAGGGCCAGGAGGAATGGGTTTGCTCGTATTTGCTATGTTTGACCTTATAGCTAACCATAGCAGCATCTTACTCCTTAGAATGCCCCTGTCCTGGTTTTATTTTCCCTTTGTGTAGTCATCAGATCCAGAGTTTAAATTCTTTTATGCGTGCATCTACTTGACACTGGAAATTTAAGAAATTATCTACTCTTGGAGGAAAGCACAGTGACCCAAGTGAGTCCTGTCATCTGCTTTGAAAAGAAAAACTTGTATTTAAGGTATCTGTAACAAAGGATTTTTCACTCATTTTGTCCTCCTGGGCTTAGTTTTCCCCATCTATACAATGAGTGCTTTGGACAGGTGACTTCCAAGGTCTCTTCTAAGTTGTAAGGTGCTATGGTTCTGACAGTTCATCTTGATGTCAGTATTCCGTGTAAGCGAGTTCATTCATGGTCTTGTTTTGGCTTTTCTAAGATCTGGTCATTTCATAAAATGTTGATAACGATTCAACTGACTGTTGAGATCTCTTTTATATGCTTATTCATTCTTATTGCCTCGTGTTTACTGTTTTATTTTTGCTTTCATTTGGTAGACCACAAAGCCATTTATTTACACGATCTAAAATTTTTCATGGTGAAATTCTCCTTGCATTATTTCCCAAGTTTCTAAGAGAGTAAATCTATTTGCTCTCTTCAGTGAAGAGAATATTTACTTACCTGTAATACTTGTTCTCTAAAGGTGTGAAATTATAATCACCATTGCTCTTCCTATTTGGGGGAGGGTCTGATTCAGAAATTGATGTTTATCAAAATTCGATCTGTCTTATGTCAGGGCGGGAGAGCCACAGAGTGGTCAGCAACCTACAACTGTGTATCTTAAGAGAACACAATTACAGGTAAGAAATTTTCTCTCTTCCCCAGGATGAATAATCTTGTTATCCTAATCTTTGCAGACTCACTTTCTGACCTAAATATGTATCTCATCATTTTAGATTCTAGTATTCATTACAAAAAAATGTGACTGATTAGAGCGCTCTTTTTTACTTTTTCCCCTTTTTGATTTCTGCAAAACTTCATTTATTCTGATGATTTGCATTATTCTTGGCCTAATTTAACCGAAGTACTTAGTAGGGAGAAAAAACTCACAGGTTATTCCATCTGAGAGTAGATGTTTTGGAAGTATTTTGTACCTGTATTGAAGAGCGGTTTATTCTCATCCAGAGTCTTCCTGTGAATCTTTTCTATTATCTCTTCAGATGTCCCCAGCACAGGGTAGACAACTCTTAAGAGATCTTTTATCTTCCTTTTTAGGCACTTATTTATGTACTAGTTTTATCCTATATGATCAAGTCTCTCTCTCAAATGAAAGCTAAGATTTCTTAATCTCTTACAATTTACCCCGTTCTAAACAATATGAAAAGTTGAATAGTAATCATTTTTTACTGGTTTTGGTTTTTTGATGGGATCTCATTATGTATAGTCCAGATTTTCTCAATTTTGCCCCATAGAAGGAATTGATGGGGCAATATCCTAATATGCTGAAACGCAAGACAAAAAATACTTGACTGTGGAACTCAGTGAGTGTGTTGGAGTGCATCTCTCACCATTTGATATGTAATGGTCTGGTTAATGTATTTGAAATAGCTTTACTAAGTAGTTTTAAATGATTATTGATAATTCCCTGGTTCTTTTCACATTGTAGCGCTGGATAAAGCAAGCCTTGGAAGAAGGGATGACTCAAACATCATCTGTACCCCAAGAGACTAGAACTCAGCATCTATACCAAAGTAATGAGAATAGTAACTCTTCTAGTATCTGCAAAGACAATGCAGGTACGTATCTCAAACCTTCCTGAATACTTGAGCAATGATTATTTCAGGTCGACATAAAAAAAATTCAGTTTGAGTATTTGAACAGTTTGATTTAAAAAAAATTGTTATCTAAATAGTTACTTTACATCTGTCTTTACAGAGGAAGAGAGAGATCTCAAGTCAGGGAACAGTTTTCCCACGCCGACAAAGAAGGAACTAGACAGTGTACAGATAACAGCAGAAATGGTTAAAAAAAGGTTAGATACGTTTAAAGTAGTAAGTTTAGGAAATCTGTATCCATGTTTATAAGAGGAGAAATAAGCAAGAAAGATGTGGGGTGCTGTTGAGGAAACAATAAAGATTACACATGATTGAGTGGGGTGGGGCTTGGGTGAATGAAGTAAATGAGAAATCCTTAAAATGGTATTGTTTTCAAAAGGGCTTACACAATTAGTGCAAAATTTTTTAGGAGACATGGCTTTGAATCCAATATAAAGTCCCTGTGAGTTTTTAAATTAGAAGGTCCTAAAAAATTGTAAGAATTTGTAAAAGAATTATAAAATTTGTAATTTTAATTGAATTGCAATTGAGGGCACTGGTACATGAATTTGTGAGGCTACCTTATTTTGGCACCAGTCTTTTTACCAAAGTTTCTCCTGCCAATTTCAGCTTAATTGAAAAGCTCTCTGTGACTTCCATAAGTTTATCTCTAAATAAATTTTGTGAATATTATGTAATCAAAAAAATAAAATAGATGCTAAAGGTCACGTAAGATTACAGCTAACATGATGTAATATTTCAGATTTTCATTAAAAACTACTTCACTGTTTCTCTTCATTGCCTGTGACTAAATATGAACTTAAATAGATTTGTACTAATAATATCTGCTTTATATTAAAATTCTGTGTAATATTATATGTCGAAAAAAGTAAGCTGCTAAAAAATTTTTTTTCAAATTATTAACTTAGTTAATTCCTCTATCTCTAATTTGGATTATACCTTATAAATTTTCACGTGTATAACCCCAGGATAATAAAACCCCAGTGTGAACATCTGGAAGATAAATGATACTATTTATCTTATCTTTATCTTTATTCTTAAAGTATTTTACCCTTCTTCTACATCAAAGATTAGAGAGATTTACTCAAACTAGACAAATACAATGAAATGCTGATACCAGATTTCCATCAATATTAGCAATTTATTGGAAGCTTTTACAGTACAGTGAGAGTATAACTTAAATCTTCCATCTAATATACATAATTAGGCACACTTGCATTTGTGTTTTGTATTTGAGTTTGGGAAAGGAAGGTTGTATAACAGTTCATGTCCTGACTAGCAAAGACTCATAGGCAAAATGTCCTTGTTACTACATGCCTTAGTTGGAATGGAATTAGGACTATTAGTCACCAAGCTTTATTGAATTTTTGCTCTGGTCTCTAGCAGTGAGAAACATTCGAAGAACACACCTTGCCCTTAAGGAGCAACATAACCAAAAGGAAAATAATTTAATTAAACCAAGCAGTAGTCAAATGAATGATGGTATATTGCTGCAAGTTAGTTTAAATCCTGAGGGATTATTTTTATTTGCTAGTTATGTTTTTTCAAAAAGACCAAGGAGATGTTAATTAAGAAAGTGAAGTGGGGGTGCCTGGGTGGCTCAGTTGGTTAAGCACCCTACTCTTGATTTCACCTCAGGTCATGATTTCAGGGTTGTGGGACCAGGCCCTACATCAGGCTCTGTGCTGAATGTAGAGCCTGCTTAAGATCCTCCCTTCTCTCCACCCCCGACCCTGTTCCTCTCCCCACCCTACCCCTTCCTCCCTCTGGTAGAGGGGGAGGGTCAGAGAGAAAGGGAAGTGTTTTGGTAGAGTAGAAAGAATCCAGTGGACCTGAATTTGAAAACCAGCTCTACCCTTTACTAAGTACGTGATGTTAGGCAAGTTACTAAGCATCTCTGAGCCTCCTCTCTAAAATGGGAATGATAATACCTGTTTTATAGAGCTTATATGAGATTAGTGAGTTAAATAATGTATGTAAAGTGGTTAGAGTAGTATCAAACCCATAATAGGAATTATTACTAACATTATTCTACACAAAATACTCTCTTGTTGAGCATTTATGAAATGTTTACAGAAATTAGTCAGATACTAAGGTACATTAAAGATGCTAAGTTCCTAAAATCTAAATTTGATTAGGAATAAAAAATGAAATTACTCTTCAGGAAGGAGAGGGCATAATGTTCATTGTTTGTAAATGGTGTGGATATGTACCTAGTAAAGTCTAATCATCTGAAAATCTTAGATTTAATAAGAGTTCAGTAAAACCGGGGCACCTGGGTGGCTCGGTGGATTAAAGCCTCTGCCTTCGGCTCAGGTCATGATCCCGGGGTTCTGGGATCAAGCCCCAAATCAGGCTTTCTGCTCAACGGGAAGCCTGCTTCCTCCTCTCTCTCTGCCTGCCTCTCTGCCTGCTTGTGATCTCTCTCTCTCTCTCTCTGTCAAATAAATAAATAAATAAAATCTTAAAAAAGAAAAAGTTTAGTAAAACCACTGGATAGAAGGTACATATGCAAAAATTAATAACATTTGTGTACTAATAAAATGAATGAAGAAAATTTTTTCATTCCCAGACTTAACAAAACTAAGAAACTGCATGGGAATAACCATAGTGGAATGTGTGGAGTAAACCATTGCTGAGAAATATGTTTATAAAGTCTTGAAGATAAAGGCTATATTTCTTAATGAAAATTATAACTATAGTATCTCCCCCACCTTCCCCTCCTCCCATCCCCAGTTTAATATAGTTCCCATCGAAGTAGCTCATTATGGAAGTTGATTAAATGAAGTTTATCTAAATAAACATGAAGATAAAAAAAAGAAGAAAATAAAAAGGCAAAGAAGTGCCTTCCCTAGCAGTACAAAACTAGTTTCTAAGGGGCACCTGGGTGGCTCATCTGGTTAAGTACATGTCTCAATTTCAGCTTAGGTTATGGTCTCAGGATAGTGAGATCAAGCCCTACCTAGAGCTCTGAGCTGAACTTGGAGCCTGCTTAAGATTCCCGCTCGCTTGCCTTCTCTCTCAAAAAAACCCAAAACTAGTTTCTAATATGAAGCCGGAAGCTAATACTTAAATTAGAATAGTACTGGTGCCTGAGTGTATGTGCGTGTATGGGATAGAATAGCCAGAAATAGGTCTTAGGTAAATGAAATATTTGCTAAATTGTTCTGGAATTTTTACTTTACTTGAGGGATTAAAAAGAATTAGATCCTTGCCAAAACAAGTTCTAGACACATTGAAATTTTTTTTTTAAGTCAAACTTGAATAAAGTTTCTGTGTCTATATTGTCTAAATATCATATAGAGTTTAATAGAGGAGAAGTGTATTTTTTTTTAAAGATTTTATTTATTTATTCGACAGACAGGTCACAAGTAGGCAAAGAGTCCGGCAAAAAGTGAGGAGGAAGCAGGCTATCCGCTGAGCAGAGAGCCCGATGCGGGGCTCGATCCCAGGACCCTGGGATCATGACCTGAACCGAAGGCAGAGGCCCTAACCCACTGAGCTACCCAGGCGCCCCTAGAGGAGAAGTCTATTAAGAGAAAGGATTTGAAAAAAAAAAAAAAGAGAGAAAGGATTTGCAATAAAAATGGCAGGAGAATAATATTCCTACTACTAGCAATTTGCTAAGGATTAATATAATGTATTAAAAAGACTAATACTCTGGGTTGCTTGGCTGGCTCAATAGAGCATGTGACTCTTGATCTCGGAGTCATGAGTTCCAGCCCCGACACTGGAGTTAGAGATGACATAAAGAAATAAACTTAAAAAAAAAAAATACCACCTAACGTAGTTGTTCTACAGAAATAAATATGGACTAAAAAGTTTTGTACAAAGTACTAGTTGTCGAATTATTAATAACTGCAAAAATGTAGAGAATAAAAAGCAGGATTTCAAACACTAAAGGAGTGGTAAAATTTGTTTATTTGCTATGTGCACATACTTTTGGGTGCACATAGCATACCATATGCATGTATATACTATATACTATACAGTTTTATTAAAATTTTTCACCCTTTATTTTGTCAAACTAACCCACCAAAACAGCATCTTACTACCTTTTTTTTTTTAAGATTTTATTTATTTATTTGACAGAGATCACAAGTAGGCAGAGAGGAAGGCAGAGAGAGAGGGGGAACCAAGCTCCCTGCTGAGCAGAGAGCCCAATGCGGGGCTTGATCCCAGGACCCTGGGATCATGACCCGAGCCGAAGGCAGAGGCTTTAACCCACTGAGCCCCCCAGGCGCCCCAACATCTTACTACTTTTAAGTTAAATTTCAGTGATCTGAATCTTGAATCTGTAAGAATATCAAAATAAAAGTATATTATGATCAAATGAAATTTTTCCTATAAATATAAGGATGGTTTAGTATTTGAAAAATTATTCATATAATTAATTAGCAGGCCAAATGGAGGAGGGGGAGTAATAGTACAGTAAATATTAATTTAAGGATAAATCTAGTAAAATAAGATGCCTATAATAACCTTTTTTTTTTTTTTTTTAAGATTTAGAAAGAGGAGGAGCAGGAAGAGGAGCAGAGGGAGAGGGAGAGAGAACCTCAAGCAGACTCTGTGCTGAGTGTGGAGCCCTGTACAGGGCTTGAGCTCATGACTTGAGTGGAAACCAAAAGTTGGACACTTAGCCAACTGAGCCACCCAGGCCCCCCAGCTTAGATTTTTTTTTTTTTTACATCCTTCTGAAAAATAGTTGCCAGTTATGCTTAATGGTGAAAACTTTGTATTAAACCTTAAAATGCATTATCAAAAACACCAAAACTAAATTAATACTGTGTACTAAATTGTACTTCCATTAAAATTATAATAAATTTTTAAAATGTGTTATGAGGGGCGGTGGCTCAGTGGGTTAAGGCCTCTGCCTTCGGCTCAGGTCATGATCCCAGGGTCCTGGGATCGAGCCCCGCATCGGGCTCTCTGCTCGGCAGGGAGCCTGCTTCCCCTCCTCTCTCTCTGCCTGCCTCTCTGCCTACTTGTGATCTCTGCCTGTCAAATAAATAAATAAAATCTATAAAAAAAATGGGTTATCAGATTTTCCCCCTTTTATATTAATTAACAGTGTCTAGAATTATTAGACAATGTGAGTACCCCAAAAAAAACTGTGAGATAAAATTACAGGTAAAGAGGATGTGTGTGTTATCATTGTGTACAAATAATGTGCTTTATCTACCTAGAAAAGCCAAGTGAGTTTACTAAAACACTGGTAGCTAGATACAAAGATAAACATTTTCTTACATGTTAAAAATAACATGTAGAGGGGCACCTGGGTGGCTCAGTCGGTTAAGCACCCAGCTCTTGATTTCAGCTCAGGTCATGATCTTAGAGTCCTAGAGTCAAGCTCGGATGGAATCAAGCCCTCATTCAGGCTCTGCACTCAGCAGGGAGTCTGCTTGAGGATTCTCTCTCCCTCTTCCTCTGCCATTCCTTCAACTCACAATCATGTGTGCTCTCTCTCAAGTAACTATTAAAAAAAAAAAGTGCAGCTAATAACACAGAAATATGCGTAATAATACACAGAGATAACAAAAACTAGAAAACATGGGCGAGTGACCCTAATTAGAAATGTGACAAATCAAGGTGCCTGAGTGGTTCAGTTGGTCAGTCATCTGATTTTGGCTCAGGACACAGATCTCAGGGTCTTGGGATGGAGCCCCAAGTCTGGCTCCCTGCTCGACAGGGAGTCTGCTTGTCCCTCTGCCCCTCCCCTGCTCTCGCTTGCTTGCTCTCTCTCATAAATGAACAAAAGAAAGAAAGAAATATGACATATCTATATGAGGAGGTATAAATGAAGGCATGAGTAGCTGAAAGATTGTTACCAAGGTGCTGAGTGAGAATTCTTCAGTTACCCCTGAGTTTAATACAATACCAATCAAAATTCTGACTTTGGTGGGGAAAATACTGTCAGCATGGTGAATGATTTCAACAGTTCACTGACAGGAATAAGTATGCTAGAATAGCCAAAATATTTTGGAAGCTACAGTTGAATAAATGAAATTACCCAAGTTTTACTAAAACGAATGTCAATATTGATGCCACTTAGCAGTAAAACTGTACAAAACTAAACCCAGTTTGTGCAAGAATCTAATAGGATAAATGTCATATTTCAAATCAGTGGAAAAATTATAATTCTATAATTACAAAAGATTTTTGAAGAATTACTACCTTGTACTGAAGTATGTTTTGAGTTAAAGTATATTTGGACATAAAGGGAAAATGGGCCAGGTTTTTTGGGGTTTTTGTTTTGTTTGTTTTTGTTTTTGTTTTTTAAGATTTTTTTTATTTATTTATTTGGCAGAGATCACAATTAGGCAGAGAGGCAGGCAGAGAGAGAGAGAGAGAGAGAGAGGAGGAAGCAGGCTCCCCGCCGAGCAGAGAGCCCGATATGGGACTCGATCCTAGGACCGTGGAATCATGACCTGAGCCAAAGGCAGAGGCTTTAACCCACTGAGCCACCCAGGCGCCCCTTGTTTTATTTGTTTTTAAGATTTTATTTGTCAGAGAACACAAGCAGAGGGTGCTACAGGCAGAGGAAGAAGCAGGCTCTCTGCTGAGCAAGGAGCCCGATGCAGGACTTGATCCCCGGACCCCAGGATCTTGACCCTCTGAGCCCAAGGCAAATGGTTAACCATGTGGATGTTGCTAGATGCTTTTTACCATGTGTTTCTGAATGAAAATTGTAGGTTACTGAGCTGTGTTAGACAAGGGTCAGTAAGGCCATGTCAAGAAAAATGTCTAGATGAAAATGCACCAGGATATTAGGAGTACGTTAATCTGTAGGTTTCGTTTCAAGTTTTGTGTTTGTTTAAATATGTGGGTGTTTGTTTATACAGTTTTGCAGATTATTTGAGTATAAAGAAAAACGATATAAGACTTGAAAGAAATTTGAACGTATAGTGTTATAGGTAGGAAAAAGGCAAATGACCACTGGCCCATAAGCTTCCATCAGGGCTGATATCAGATTTATTTTGTTGAGTATTATACCATAATAAGAACTCAATAAATACGTTTTGTATGAATGACCTGTAAGTTGATTTGGAAGTGGTAGGGTTCATCTGTACATTCTAACTTTCCTAGAGTGAGCTTTATTACTTATCTAATTCCCTTTAGTATTTAGTGTTGGACCTGTCAGTGTAGCAGTGGGTTTTGTTTTGTTTTGTTGTTTTTTTAAGATTTACTCTCAGAGTACATTAAAAAAAGTGTTCTAAGGGCACCTGGGTGGCTCAGTGGGTTAAGCCTCTGCCTTTGGCTCAGGTGGTGATCTCGGGGTCCTGGGATCAAGGCCCGCATCGGGCGCTCTGCTCAGTGGGGAGCCTGCTTCCCCCTCTCTCTCTGCCTACCTGTGATCTCTCTCTCTGTCAAATAAATAAATAAAATCTTGAAAAAAAAAATGTGTTCTAAACATGTCATGAATCACATCTTTGTTTTTTTATACCTAAGCATCTTTCAAAGGAGAAAAGTCAGAAAGAAAGCTCTATTTCTGGAAAACAAAAGTATGAATATACTTCAGTCTAGGAAAATAAGAAATTCTCACATATCAGAAAGAAAAAAAGCATGTCCTGTATTTTTGGCATTTATTCTTCTCTCCATTTCCACATCTGCTAGCCTAGTTCAGGCCTCATAACTGTCAACTACTCCATTAACTCCAAATAGTTTCCCATTGTCATCCTAACTGTTACTGTCAGAGTAAATCATCCTGAAGCATAACTCTGATCATGCCTTCTGTCCCAGCACTTGTCCTTGAAGGCATGGGATAAATGCCACTCCTTCCACTTAGCCTTGGGGATATATTTTGACATAATGATTAGGAATGTAAATGAGGGGCGCCTGGGTGGCTCAGCTCTTAAGTCTGCCTTCCACTCAGGTCATGATCCTGGGGTGCTGTGATCGAGCCCCTAGTCGGACTCCTTGCTCAGTAGGGAGCCTGCTTCTTCCTCTTCTCCCTGCTTGTGCTTGCTCACTGTCTTTGTCTGTCTCTCTCAAATAAATAAATAAAATCTTTTTTAAAAAATGGAATGTAAATGAAACTAAATTATCTAGTCTTTATCTCTGCACATCAAATTCCTCATCTTTAAAATGGATTTATGGAGTTCATATTAAATCTGATAATTCACATAAAGCACATAGAGTAGTGCCTGGCATATAATAAGCACTTAAAAGTGTAATTTTTTTTTTAAGATTTTATTTTTAAGTAATCTCTACAATCAATGTGGGGCTTGAACTCAGGACCCTGCGATCAAGAGTTGCAAAGCATAATTATTTTTTACAAATGCACAGCAGTATGATCCTCTATAGAGATTCTTAAATTTACATTATGCATGTTTTATATTATTTATATTAAATGATTTAAATACTATATTAAATAATATATATTAAACATACTTTTTCTCATCTTCACAAATTTGTAAATCCCCTGAAGTAGACTATAGGGTGACCTCCCCTTACATACCTGATTCAGTGGTTTCCATATAGTAGATATTAAGTAAATAAATATTTTTAGCTGTAAATGAATAAACGTAGATTATTTTCCCCTGAGAAAGTGAGATAGGTGCTTTGACCCGAGTGGTCATTAAAATATATAGGGTAGTAGTTTCCTTTATAAGTGGACCCAAGAAATAAAAGAAGTGTAGGATATTCCAATCAGAAAAAGAGTACCAGCCTCATTTTTGAAAATGGTTGGGAGAAATTTTTGTAAAAATCATTTCCTACTTTGAAGCACTCTAAAATTAGGGGCCAGATATATAGGTCAGGTAGTCATTTGTAACTCTTTCCCACTAAAGCAAAAAATTTTCTACCAAAAAATGGTAGAAATATATAAAAGAAGATAAAAAGAGTATGGAGTTAACATTCTAGAAACTTGAGCTGGTCACATGGCAATTAAGTAGAGGGTGATTTTACTAAGTGACAGATTTTTAGAAATTCAATGTAAAAAGTAAAAGAGGTTTATATTTTCCACTGGAAGAGATTAAATTTGTTCCAGAGATCAGTCATTAGAAGTGTCAGATTCATCTGGTGATTCTCTGGGCAGTAGAGAGTTTTGAGAATTACTTATATTTGGCAATTAGAGAGTTCTTTGGCTTTTGGTTTGATTGCAGGGAGATAACATCGGGATGAGGCAGAAAAGGAATTAAGAGCCATTGTGGGCTAGAGATTAATGGCTTTACTACAGAGCCTCCCTTTAAGCTGTGGTTTCAGTCTCTCATCCAAGCTTTGTATTTCACAGACTTGTTGAGCCCATTAAAGAAATGGAAGTCTCGCTATCTGATGGAGCAGAATGTCACCAAGTTACTGCGGCCTCTTTCTCCAGTCACACCACCCCCTCCCAATCCAGGCTCAAAGAGCCCCCCGCTGAACACATCTGGCCCATCTCACCCAGAAGAGGAGTGTCGAAATGGATACAGCCTCATGTTCTCACCAATCACGTCTCTTACTACTGCTAGTCGCTGCAATACTCCTCTGCAGTTTGAGGTGATTTGGGTTTGCTTGTTGGGAGTGCTGAATATGAAAATTATCATTTGCCCTTTTCATTTCAAGTATAATGTCATTCCCAATAATTCTTGACCATGTTCCTGCCAGTCTCAGCAAGAGAATGAGAAACCTCAGCTTCGGTGTGACCTGTTACCTGGTAGCCTCTCATCTTCCCCAAAAGTCCCCATACTTTCCCAAAAAGGAATAGTTCTACCATTGATGACATTCATCTGTTTTTGCATGCAATCCGTCAGTCTCCATAACCTTAGTAAGCATGTTACATCTCCATCTTTGTCTTTACTACATACCTTGATTAAAATAGGTCTCTAGCTGCCTAGTAACCACTAATGAAACCAGCTTCAGAGCTCAGATTATACTGATTGACTCTCTTTCTTTCTAGGCCTTTAAATGAGTGAGCTATCTTTCCCTGTTGTTTTGTATTCTTACTGTGTCCTCAGTGAATGGAGATTTAGAAAGTTTGGGGTATGGTTTGTGGCAAATGAGGGGTTTTTTTCCTACTCCAGGTTACTTTCCCTTCTTGTTACAATGTGTTAGGAATGAAAAGTTAGAAAGAGCCTAACAACATGTATTTGTAAGAGACATATTTATTACATTCACTCTCTGGATTAAGTTAGAAATGTGTATTTTAGCTGTTGGAACAGTTAATTCTGATTTACATTCTCTTGTTCATGTGTGGATGACAATAGGTTTACTGAATAGAATCCTTGTGTATAAAAAAAAAATCTATTGCATGCTGCTTTGATTTGAAATTCATTCAACAGTCTCTTCCTTCTTCTTAAAATTGTTCTGATCACCAAACAACTTAGCTCTGCCCCTAGCTTATAATTTCTCTAGATGTCTTCTTTGATAAAGGTGAATGCTTTAACCAATGCCTGCCTACCTGTTCACCCCTTATGAAAGCATAGGGATTAAAAGTACCCATCCTTTTGAATGGCCAACTCAGAAGGAGGTAGCTAGCAACCTTGAAAGCAGGAAACAGCTATGTTCTGTACCTGAATAGACTGTATTAATTTCTTTGGGAGCAAACTTCTTTGGCAAGGGGATGGTGGGGAAGCAGAGGGAACCTTCCTGGTTACATTTGATTTATAGAGAAGTTACTCTTTACCAAATTCGCTGTGACATTCTTATTAGCCATACAGTAAAGCTCCTGATGCAGGCCTTACTAACTTTACTTTATCTAATTGCCTTGATTTTTCAGTTAGCAAGTAGAATTTAATAGTAAAATTTCATAAGAGACTGTTCACCCTGGAGGGCAGCAAATTGTAAGCATAAGATTTCATACTTTATCATTTCAGGTTTTATTATAATTAAAAAGGTGAAATTACAGAAATCAGAAGGTACATCACCTTCCAAGACCGTTAAGTTGAGCATTCAGTGCATTTCCTAATCCCATGTAGTATTTTAGATAACTGAAACACTGTGCAAGGGTAAGGTATTCTATTTATTTATTTATTTATTTTATTTTACAAATCAAAGATCAGTTTAGTGATGCATAGTCTAAGCATAATGTTAGAATACTGGGAATAAAAGTATTATATTAAATAATTCATCCCTTCAAAAAGTCTAATGCCTATTTTCACTGTTTCAGTCTCACGATTTAACTAAGGAAATTTAATCTTTCTTGTCAATAAAACAGACTTCACCATCCTGACCATCTTTATCACCATTTTAACTGCCATGCTCTTTCCTGTATTCTAGTATAGGAAGCCTTATTTCCATCCAAGACTATGACACAGAGAAATACCAAAAAGGTGTAACAGGTAAAGCTCAGTTTGGTTGGGGAAGAATCTTTTTTAAAGGAAAAAAAAATCATCCCAGTGAAAAATGTCCCCAGTGCTAAGAGAAAGAGCGGAGAAGACATGTAGTAGAAGAGAACAATATCGTTAGGGAGGGGGAAGCATTAAAAAAAGGAATAAAAAGCAACTTTGAGAGGGCTAGCTTAATTAACCTCTCCTTTCCACCAGAATAACCTTTCCCTTCTCTTCCTCGCCCAGTATCTACACACTACCCAGCCCACCAAATAAAATTAACAGCCTCATTTCACCTCCCATGGAATGGATCTGCCACCCGGGTCTCCAACATTAGGAACCCTCCCCTTCCTTTACCCCTAGTACTCTGAATCCTTGTCACAACCACCACCATCTTTCTGTCCACTTTTTACCATTCAGATCCTCCATCAGAGTTCACTGGCCAGTTCCTGTTTGAGTGCTCTGGGAGTGCTGCATCAGGTGAAAGCTCTAAGGGGAAGCCTGTTTAAAATGCAGGGACTTGAAATGTTCCCATCTGCTTCCCCCCACACTCTGTTCCCAAAAGTACAGGAATTTTCATATCAGAGAACATTGGTAGGCAGGGGTGTTCAGATCCAGTTAGATTATGCTGTGAACCGTCTAGCCTATGAGCTGGATTGCATTCTGTGTCCTATAACTGTTAGGCAGGAGAGCTGGCCATCTCCCTAGCCCTGTCAGCCCCAGCATGCCCAACACTTTCCCTCGACACCGGTGGCAGGCCTGAACCACACAGGAGAATGAAGAAATATGTTTCAGAAGGAGGTGTGGGATAAAAGAAAAAGATTTCCCTATGGAGGAATAAGTGGTAGGGTGCCCATCAGTAATAAATACTATAAGCTAATCAACTGTCATCAGATGTAGAACAGAATTTCAAATGAAATTATAGTATACAATTTCACCAATCTAAATTTTTTCTGTTATCTGCTGAGGATGTTTACTTATAGCATGAAACATTATAAACAGTTTATCCCTAAATGTTTTCAAGGACACCAAGGAAGCATTTTTAACCAGATGTTCTGTCCATTGAGATGAATTCTGCAGTTAAACATTTCCCCTGTGCATTTTTTCCCTCCCCTTGCCCCCACCACAAAAACTTGTGGCTAACCATCTATGCTTGCTTTTATTTTTTTGTTTGTTTTGTTCTGCTTCTTGACTTCAGATAGATGAATAACAAGATGCTTTTCCCTCCTCTAGAACATATCCTCCCCTGAGAGTTCCCCTGCGAATAGGCCTGAGTCCCTGTCACCCGAGGTAGTTATCACACCATCTCAATCACACTTGGAGGCTGAGAGTGAGTGTGCATGAGTGTGTGGGAGGGCTGGGGGGACTGAGTGGATGGGATGCAGTAGGCTGGAGAGCAACCAGTCACTGTAAGTTGAGTAAATCTTCCCATGTATGACTGGATCACTCAGAACTTTCAATGTAGATGGAGGAAAATGAAGGGGGTGTGTGTGTGTGTGTGTGTGTGTGTGTGTGTGTGTGTGTGTGTTGGGGTTTGTTGTTTGGGGGAGGGGGTGGCTGAAGCGTTCTTTTAAAGAATAGAATCTGGAAGTCAAGTTGAAAGCAAGCTGAAGATGTGGGAGCCTTGGCAAAGAAAGTAACAAATAAGGTGTGTTTGTTAAATAAAGTTGAAATCAAAAGTTGGTAGGAGTTATCTTTTGATATTTATTATCTTGGGCTGATAAAGGAGCATTTGATTCTAGAAAAGTTAGGCAGTGATTTATGTCTTGTTTCAAGGTTTAATCTGACAGCTCTGTTTAACGGGATGTTTTGGGCTTTGGTTGATAGATTGAACAGCTTCTTTAGAAAGAGAGTCCTGCCTCTCTGCCCTTTCCATTTTCTTTATATCTCTTTACTGGGTATGCAAGGAAACTAAGTCAGCACATGGCTTCTGTCACACAGGCCTTTCTTCTATAGTAGTGGAGATGTGGTGGCATACAAGTAGTATCTCTTAGGATATCCAGTTGAGTGTTTTTCTTAGGCACCCTACTGCTGTGGAGATGTTAAATTCAGATTTTAGTGCTAGGGTTTTTTAACTGTTCAAATACTTGGACAAATCTAGTAATGATTAACTCTGTGAATCCACATGGAACCTTTTTCCTCTTGAAGTGAAAGCTGTAGTCTTTCATAACCTTTCAGAAATTAAATGAACTGTTAACTCTACCCCTTTCCAGTTAAAAATGTAGTGCTAAACTTGGTGATAGTTGATAAAATTCTGAGTCAGAATTTTATAGATCAATGTGATCTATGTGAATCTGATAAAGGTTGTCTTCTAGTATACTAAAGGTTTTCTGGGTGTTTTCTACTCTTGTAAGGATATCATGGTGTGACATCTGGATTTTTGGTACCGTTCTTTCTAAAGAGTAATAGTTGACCTAGTGATGGAAAATCTTGGTGTTGGGAGGTAATGATACCAAAGGGTAGATACGGTTTATCTTTGATACAATTCAGCATTTTGGGTGCTCTGCATTGGTGGGCATTAGTGGTCTCGCAGTATGTGGACATACATCAGAGGGTAAAGAATTGAGTGGCCAGAAAATTTTATGAGAAGCACACATACTTAATAGTGAAAGTGAGTGAAGAACTGGTTGGTTGATGTCTTTAAATAACACCATTCTCCTCTACTAAACCAGTAACTTAAATACTTGACTTTCTACTTACTGCTTTCTTTCCCTTTTCCCCTCCTCCCACTTTCCATCAGTATTAAATACAAATGAGTAACACCAGAAGCCAGTTGTTATCTTAAGACACCAGTCTCACCCCTGTAGCATACATGGGCCTCAGGTAAATCCCTGATTATACTTCCAGTCCCTTAATGTAGTTCAGGGTGACTCGGCAAACCTGATGAAAGGCTAAGCAGGCAAAATAGTCACATTTGGCCAATTGTTTAATTCTGATTTTCCCAGGCTTCTCATCCAGAAAACTTTAAAGCAATTTGTGAAAGGCCGGCATTCTCTAATAATCTGGCCTGTATATACCTTTGCTCCATGGGCCTTTTACAGATGTTAATGGCTTTCTTTCTTGTACTCCCATCCTTCTTACCCCATCCCTCTTACCTTTCACCTGTGCCCCTCTCACTTCCCTTCCTTTCTGTCCTTTGACTTTTTCCTTCCCCCGCCGCCTCCTCCATGTCTCTGTTGATTTTTATTCTTTCAGCTTTGTCACCGGAAAGACCTGGACTTGACAAAAGTAGGCTACCTTGACTCCAACACTAACAGCTGTGCTGACAGACCTTCCCTGATCAACTCAGGTCCTTCTGACCTGGCTCCTCATCCCTCTGTCGGGCCCCCCTCTGAGACTGGCTTTCCAAGCAGGAGTGGAGATGGACATCAGACCCTTGCAAGGAACTCGGACCAGGCATTTCGGACAGAGTTTAACTTAATGTATGCCTACTCCCCATTGAACGCTATGCCTCGAGCAGATGGACTGTATCGAGGGTCTCCCCTAGTAGGGGATAGGAAGCCTTTACATTTGGACGGGGGATATTGTTCCCCTGCAGAAGGGTTTCCCAGCAGATACGAACATGGTTTTATGAAAGACCTCTCTCGTGGATCCATGTCACCTGGTGGTGAAAGGGCTTGTGAAGGAGTCCCATCTGCCCCCCAGAACCCACCACAGAGGAAAAAGGTAAGTGTTTTACCTTATATAGGCCCTTTTGAAGAACAGTATCTAACCAATTCAGTAGATACTTACTGAGTTAACCGCCATGTGCTTAGCACCATTCTCCATGTGAGGAAAAGAAAGTCATGAGACATGATCTCTGCCATGTCCAGTGAAAGACAAGACTGTTTTGTTTTAAAGATTTTTTTTATTTATTTGAGAGATGGGGGTGGAGGACCATGAGAAGGGGGAGGAACAGGGAGAGGAAGAAGCAGATTCCCCACTGAGGAGGGAGCCAGACACGGGACTCAAGCTGAAGGCAGATACTTGACCAGCTGAGCAATCCAGGCGCTGCTGTTTTGTTTTGTTTTGTTTTTAAGAAAGACTGTTTTAATACAATTTGATGAGTGTTACAAATATTCAACAAATTTAAATGCCTGCCATGTATGTGCTGTGCACCTGCTATATGCAACCAAAGGATAGAAAAATGGAAAAGAATAATGCTTATTACGTGTATTATTTAGCACTTCTCATGTGTTAAGCTTTTTCTTATGCATTATATCCTCACAGTAATCCCGTAAGATGGGTAATTTCCCATTTTGCAGATGAGGAAACTAAGGCAGGTTGAGTGACTTGCCCATGGTCACATAGCTAGTAAATGGAAGAGCCAGGACACTGCCCAGCTCTGTCTGATTCCAGATTTCATGCTCTTATTGCCAATATGTTATATATTGCTTCTTAAATTCTGGCCTAATGGAGCTTAAAGCAAGTGAGACTGAGGTAAGCAGATACTTGTATTATTAAGTAATTACAGTGGCAGTGGATGCTTCAAAGGAATTATTCAGATATAGTAAGAACACCTTAGCCACAACCTAGTCTAGTCATATATGTGGAGGGTACATTGAGAACAAACAAGAGGCTCCTAGCTAGTTTGAGAGGTGGTGGAGTGAGAGACGACAGGTCACTCACTGATTTAGCTGATCTCATATGGTAAGTGGAAACAGTCTGCCAACAAATAAGGGTAAGGATGTTACAGAAGGGAAAGCAGAACTTGTAGCTGTGTGACACTCCATTGATTGGGCAGCAGGGATGCAGTGTGGTTGCAAACAGTTGAATGCTGCTCGAGTGAAAGGTAGGGAGAGTATGGAAAGAGATGGTAGAACAGGGACAGGCCATAGACTGCTGGCTAACAGGTTGGGACTTTAACTTGTAAGTAATGCCTGTTCAAGAAATTACAAAGCCCAAAATGTGCTTTTTAGGTCAGTGGATTTAAACTAGGGGCATTTGAAAATGCATGGGGATATTTTGGGTTGCCACGGGAACTTCCATTTATTGTGCCAGGCTAGAGATGTTAAATGTTCTGTGTGTGACAGTCTCACACAATTGCAGGATATCTATAGTAGTTTCATTGAAATGTAACCTAGTGACTTTTGGTATTTGCATTTCAATGAAATACATTACCAGAATTTATTAATATGAATTCTTTTCCAAGATTGTATATGGAAAAACAAATACAGAAGATGGTAGTACTTTGCATTTTGGTTATATTTTACGTTTGAGCAGAGAAATGAGAGCCCTGAGTAGAAGGCAGAAACACTGGCAGATAATTTGGAGTTAGATACCAGTGGGTTTAGAAGACGATTGTATGAACAGCATTGACCATCAGGAGCAAAAATTAAAATGTTCTTGGATTTCTGGTTTCATTTATTATGTACAACAGTGATTGAAATCATAATTTGTTATTTGAGAATTGTTGAGCACCTGCTGCCAGTCAGGTTCTGTGCTGGATTCTAAAGATGGAAAGCCAGAAAAATTTGATCTTTGCCCTCATAGACCATATAGTTTAGTGGAGGAAAAATCAAGACACAGGTTGACAGCCAGTGTGGGCAGTGTGTTGTAACAGCAAAGAGGAAGTGTGCTGGGCGGGCCAGGGAGGAAGGCCTTGTTTTGGCAATCAAGAGAGAATGAGGCAGAGTTGGGGAAAAGTTTCCAAGTGTACATTTCCCAGGCTAGCTTGCTATAGTATAAACTGCAAATCATTCTTTGTCTTTCTACACTAGTTGCCTATGTGTAAGACAAACAGTAATAAATCCCTGCATGTATCTTGAAAAATTGAACGCCTTTAAGAACCCTGAACTGTTGGCTTTTCCTTTTGTTTTCCCCCCCGCTTTTAAAAAAAAAAATAAAATAAATAAAATAAAAAACTTACTATGGGGATTCTTAGGGATTGGGAAAGAACTGTTTAGATCACCTGGAAGGCTTTTTCAAACTACACAGCTCCCAGCCCCCCTTTTCCTTTTTTAGGTGTTACCATTGTAGCAAACAGCTGATAGCACGTTTCTGTTACTGGGTCACTGTGATCTCAATTATTCGAAGGCATGAAAAAGGTTGAGGTCTGCTGGTGAACACTGTTCTTCAAAAATGTCATTTCCTGGGTATTTTTCTCTCCTTACCAATTTCTGACCGATTTAAGTATGTAGCGTGCTCAGTTCTCTCACATCTGAAGGAAGGGTTGCTATTATTGGTGCCCGCTTTGTTTGCATGGCAGGCCAGTGGTTCATGAGGGTTCCATCTTCTTTCCCTATTGCTAGTGATCCCCTGACGATGTCTGGCTAGAGTTCTGTTTCTTGTTTCCCAGGTATCCCTGCTGGAGTACCGCAAACGGAAACAAGAAGCCAAGGAGAATTCTGCTGGTGGGGGAGGTGACTCTGCACAGAGCAAAAGCAAGTCTGCAGGAGCTGGGCAAGGCAGCAGTAACTCACTTTCTGATACTGGTGCCCATGGTGTGCAGGGATCCTCAACCCGAACCCCATCTTCCCCTCACAAAAAATTCTCCCCATCTCATTCCTCTATGTCCCATATGGAGGCGGTAAGCCCGTCAGATTCCAGAGGCACTTCATCTCACTGCAGACCTCAAGAGAATATCAGCAGTAGGTGGTAAGTTTATGTTTGATGCTGAAATAATTAAATTCAAGAGGGAAGCATACATCTAGAATCATTTCCAATTTTACCTAAAATATATTGGAATATTTGTCTGAGAAAGGCAGCAGCAGTGCCATCCATGCTGTGCAGCTAATTTAATAGCATCAGCCATGACCCCTCCCCCACCCCCTCAGCTTTACAGAAGCAAAGAATTGCCACTAAACCTGCAGAACAACACTTTGGATGCCATATAGTTGTGGACACAGATGAGCTATTTTATTTGCTGGGCACTAACACTGCCTCTTCTGCTTTTTTATTTCATATGAAAGGTAAGTCAGGAGTTCAGCTCAGTGCCACTGAAATTACAACAGAAGATTCAGTTGCACACAGATAGCATGTACAGAAAGATAAGACATATTCTGAAAGGTCTTGTCTACTTTAGGGGAGACCACGTAGATACCACTGTAAGTAAATAAATAATAAATAGTAGCAGGTATTGAGCATCAAATGGGAGATGTAGAGAATGAGGCTGTTCAGGGATCTTGAACTGAAGCAATGAAGTTTGGGAAAGAAAAGACCTGACTCAAATGAGTAATGTTTATTAATCTATAGAGCATTTATTAAACTACTACTGTGTGCCAGGCACATGACTTCACAGAAGAGAAAAATTTCACATTTCACAATAGAGGTCAAATGTAGACATCTTTAAATTCCTTTTTTCTGTAATTTAAGGCAGAGAAAGAAATTCCTGTTTTAAACTGGTCCTGAAGAGGATGTTGTAAGAGAATGTATTATACAGCCTTTGTGAGAGCTTCATTTGTTCCAGACTCTTGACTCTGAAGTCCTGTGACATAAACTTGCACTCTGTTCTCTTTACAGGATGGTTCCCACATCAGTAGAACGACTCCGAGAAGGAGGGAGCATCCCCAAGGTCCTCCGAAGCAGTGTGCGGGTGGCCCAAAAAGGAGAGCCTTCTCCCACTTGGGAGAGTAACGTCACAGAGAAAGACTCAGGTGAGCCCATGGCCTTCTGCTGCCAGCCATGTTTAGGGACACACAAGCCAGCCTCTACACAATGCTCACTAAATGCTGGACTGAAGTGAGTCAGTTTCTTATGCAGTGAGGCTCCACTGGAAAGAAGGTTCCAGGTCAGTCTTGCTTCCATTCTTCTGGGCTCCCAACATTCTTAAGATCTTGCATCCATCTAGTGTTGTCTTTCTTTCTCTCTCCCGCCCCCGCCCCCCACCCACCTCTGTTTTTTCCCAAGAGATACCTTTCTGTAACTCTTCTCTGCAAAGGCCTAGAAATCCATTTTGATGAAGGATGAAGAGAAAGAAGGAGACAGGAATCAGATCAGGCATTTAAAATATCACCCATAATTAACCACTCCTTTTGCCCGTCTGGCATGCTGCATTCACTTTTTTTGTTAAAAAGAAAGTAGCACGGATTGATGATACCATTGGTGATTTGAATGAACAATGGTTATTTCTCACTTAATTCTAGGAATTCTAGGAAGCCAAGTTAATAGAATTTTCTATTATCTTCCAGACCCTGCAGATGGAGAAGGCCCAGAGACACTGAGCTCAGCACTCTCAAAAGGAGCAGCCGTTTACAGCCCTTCCAGATACAGCTACCAGGTGAGACGAGAAATTGCTCATCTCTGGGCATAGGAGTATATTCTGGGTTCCAATATTTTGTGATCCTGGCCATCCTTTGCAGTTGAGATGCCGTCTTTGCATATAGTTTCAGCAGCCTTGGAAATAAGTCATCATCTGCTCACCTTCAGGTAATAAATCATGCCAGAAAAATAAATAAAATGATCAGAGACAGCCATTTTACTGTCTTTGGTATACGTAAAAGAACAAATGGTTAAGAAGATGAAGAAGGTGAAGAAGGAGGAAAAGAAGAAGGAGAAGAAGAAGGAGAAGAAGAAAAAGTAGGGTGTTCTAAATATTCACAAGCCTAAATGGCTTAAATAGGGACTTTTTCACCTCCTTATGCTTTTCCTCCTGACTCTTTCTAGCTCCTGCAGTGTGATAGTCCACGGACAGAATCACAAAGCCTCCTTCAGCAGAGTTCCTCCCCCTTTAGAGGACATCCCACCCAATCTCCAGGATACAGTTATCGAACTACTGCACTGAGACCTGGAAATCCCCCCTCTCACGGTTCTTCAGAATCTTCCCTCTCTTCTGCGTCCTATTCCAGCCCCGCCCACCCTGTATCCACAGACTCGTTGGCCCCATTTACGGGGACACCAGGGTATTACAGCAGCCAGCCACATTCTGGAAACAGCACTGGCAGCAATCTTCCAAGGAGGAGCTGCCCTTCTAGTGCTGCTAGCCCTACCCCACAGGGCCCCTCAGACTCGCCGACCTCAGACTCGGTCTCCCAGTCCAGCACAGGAACTCTGAGTTCCACCTCCTTCCCTCAGAACTCTAGATCGTCATTGCCATCAGACTTACGGACTATCAGTCTGCCCAGTGCTGGGCAGTCCGCTGCCTACCAGGCCTCCAGGGTATCTGCAGTTTCCAATTCACAGCACTACCCACACCGTGGGAGTGGGGGTGTGCACCAGTACCGACTCCAGCCACTGCAAGGGTCAGGAGTCAAGACTCAGACAGGACTTTCCTAGGGCTTCTGGATTTGGGCAAACAGAACTGAATGAGCCCATAGCTGCTTCCTTCCAGCTGCCTCTGGAACCTAGGCCGAGCATATTGCTGGGGAAGGGGTACAAGGTGCCAGAGGACTGGGTCTGGTCGACAAGAAACGAGACTTGTGGTCGCGACTGGCTCTGGCCTTGGAGAAAGATGTAAATCTTGTCTGAAGCAGAGACTATAAAGAAGTTTCTCCCTGCTGTTAAGGGTACATTGTTGACAAGCAAATGGTGTTCCGGTTAGTAACGGTTCTAAGTGCAATGAGTCGTGTTGAAGCCTCTGTCTCCCGTCCTTGCCTGTAGCCTGTAGTCACTTGTGCAGTGGGGACATCTTTTTACACACACACACACACACACACCCTCCCCCCCCAAAAAAGAAGTTTTCTTTTCAGAGGAAAAAAGCATAAAGAGCCAATCTCAAAGCCCCAAGCCATCTGAGTAGTATTAGGATTTTTATGCACTTAAGAAGAAAGGTAGGTATGGAAATGTTCGCCCTGTGACAACCATTCCAAAAGCAGGTATCTGGCCAAGATGTGTCCACCAAGAATTCTCCCTACCTTTGTCTTAAAATCACTAAGAAATAGGCAGGGATAGCAAAACTTGGAATGTGCTCTGGCTGAGGGGTGCCTGGCTCTCTGAAGAAGAGCTCTTTGTCAACTTCTGATGATTCAGGAGCAGATGATCATAGTAGATTGTCTGAGCCCCCAGCTGTTCCCATCCCCCACCCCAAGCTGTCTCACAGCTCAGTAACCCAGAAAGGAAGTAGGCAAAGCGAAATAAGTGAGATGGGCCAATTGCATTGCTACTTATCAGCTGTTGGCAATAAATTTGATTAGTAAGGATCCCAAGTGTTTTGGGAATTCTTTGAATTTTATTTTTTTCTACTCCCAGTTAATCAGGAGTTGACGATCCCGTGAATAGGACCACCTCCATGATTAGGGAGCACGCACTTGTGACTGCAGGGTAAGAGTGGAAAGATACGTTTGTGGAGTGGCACCGACAGGACTGTGATTGTGTGTGGGCATGTCCCACATTTCTTTGGGGGATGCTGATTTGAGAATGGCCCAGGTGAGAGAGTTACAAAGCCACCCACACACCTAACACTGTTCTGGATGAGAGACACGGGCAGACTGGCTTCTCCCCATCAGTGCATCGTGCCTGTTGTACACCCCTGTGGGAGCCCTGGAGCCCGCCCAGGTGGGGTACACAATCTTTTTAAAAATTCCATACGGTTGCCAGCTTATTTCTTTCACTTGTTTACTGTAATATCCGGCGTGTTTTTATTTATCTAATTTTGTATTCAGTTATAACCATGGTAGGGGTAGCAAATATATGACAGGTGTAATCCCTGGTGCTGCAGTGGACCTTACTTCTTTTCTTTTGGACAAGATAATACTGTGAGTCTCCCTCCTTCCAATTTGTTTTCTTCTTTTTTTCCCCAGCCTCTTGCATCTCCCTTCTTTTCTATCCTTTCCTATAACTATCATATGCACAGTCTTCTCTCTTTGTGTGTGACTGTTACAAAATTTCACTTTTTCAAAATTGAAATCAGGTGTTTGCTCAAATGAGGGGAGATTTTTTTTTTTTTTTTTTTTTTTTTAAATGCTGAAACCTCAGCAGAATACTTTTCTTTTTGTTGTTTCCCCCACAAACCCATCAGTCTGGGAGAGCGTTGGGAGTGGAAATCATGTTGCCTGGGATGCTGGTTTCTTTGTATATTATATAAAACGTATGTAAATGTCTCTCCATTTGGGCTGGGGTTTGCATTCTCCCCTTGGTTTTAGCTAAGGGGAGAGGCCAGCGGGCAGGCGGCCCTCACCCTGCCTGGCACGTGCAGAGACCCCAGCCACTCTGTGTGGGCAGGGTGCTGTCAAGACCAGACCTCTGGGGGGGGGGGGGGGGGGGGGGGGGGGAACTCTTGGAAGGGAAGAAGTATCACTTCTTTCTCAAGTGGAGTGTTTACACCTTGCTGTAACATTTGAACTTTCACAAGAGATGTAATAATTTTGATAATAAAATTCTTAACCATAATAATCATAAAGTTGAGAACTTCTTTGTCAAATTCTCTGACCTTGCCTTGCTTGGTTTTCCTACTTCTACCCTTACCTGAAGAGGCATATGCTCTTGATGGAGTTGTTTTTGCACGTAATGGACCAGGAATATGTACTGATCTTCCTTCAGCCTTTCATGATTCAAGTCAGGCCAGTATCAAGACCACTCAGCAACAGTGAAACTGAACGTTACAGACTGATTTGAACTGGACTGGAGTTCCTGACCTTGGCCTTATTCATTCAGCAGCTGTTTATTGGCCCTCTTCTTTGCCGCTCAAAAACTACCAGGCATTTGTTTTGGTGATGGGTTTATGCTTATGAAAATTGAAGATAGGGATATGCAAATAAGGTTTCATGGAGCTTATATCCTAGAGTGTGGTGAGAACTAAACCAGTCAGTAATTTCAAACAGTCATTACTGTGTTATTTTTTCATAGCAGATATGTAACTAAGGAGGTTAAGGGGCCACTCTAGATTGTTGATCAGGACAGGTCTCTGAGGACTTAACATCTAAGCAGAGACCCCAACAATAAGGAGGCAGTTATGTGTCAATATGAATAAAGATCATTCCTAGAGAATTAGAAGAGCAAATGCAAAAGCCTATGAGGAGGAATAGACTTGATATAGTGAATGACCAGGACAGGAATGGGGAGTAGCAAATACCTAGGAAGCTAGGGGGTCAGATCATATAGAGTGGGGGTCAGCAAAAGTGTTTTCTGTAAAGGGCCAGATAGTAAATATTTAGGCTTCGCAAGCCATACGGTCTCTGTCAAAACTACTCAGCTCTGTCTTGCAATGCAGAAACAGCCACAGGCCATACTTGCCTATGTTCCAATTAAACTATATTCACAGAAACATGTGGCAAGTCAGATTTGGCCTGCAGGCTGTAGTTTGCTGGTTCCTGATACACAGAGCCTTGTGGGTTTAGTTTAAAGAATGTGGATTCTAAATACAGTGGGAGGGGCGCCTGGTGGCTCAGTCTGCCTTCGGCTCAGGTCATGATCCCAGGGTCCTGGAATCAAGCCCCAGCCTCTGCTTAGGCTTCTTGCTCAGTGGGGAGTCTGCCTCTCCGTCTCCCTCTGTCCCTCCCCCTCTGGTGCTCCCCCCACCTCTCTCAAATAAACCTTTTTAAAGATACACAATGGGAAAGTCACTGCAGGATTTTAGGCACAGAGTGACATGGTCTAGTTTATGGTTTATTGTTGATTGGTTAGTGTTTAAAAATTACTCTGATTGTTTTGCTCCTGGGAGAGATGAATAGAAGCCAGGAATCCAGTTGGAAAGCTATAGTAGTTATTCACATGGGGGCAATATAATGGCAGCTTCTGCTAAGATGATAATAAATGGGGTAAGGTGAAATAGTTGGAATCAGGATACATTTTGCAAGTAAACATCAGTGCTTGCTGATGGATTGGTGTGGCAGTACTTTAACATTTGTTGGACAAATATTTACTGAGGGTTATGACAGACTGATAGCATTTTGCTAATAAGCAGGAGGGATTCAAAGATGGAGAAGATGCTATCCATTTCTTTAAGGAGCTTAGAAAGTAACTAGTTGGAGACTTAACAAAAAATTATTTTTTTCTGGGGTATCTGGGTGGCTCAGTCAGTTAAGCATCTGCCTTTAGCTCAGGTCATAATCCCAGGGTCTTGGGTTTGAGCCCCACATCGGGCTCCTTGCTTGGTGGAGAGCCTGATTCTCCCTCCCACTCTGTCCTTCTTCGTCTCTCGTGCTCTCTCTCTCTCGTCCTCTCTCTATCTCTCTCTTGCTCTCACAATCTTAAAACCAAATAAAGCTTTCCTTAAAAAAAAAGATTTTTTTTTTCCTTAAGAAAGCTCTAATAGAAATGCCCACTGGAATACCTAGATAACCTTCTACCAGCCACAGTTGTTTTCTGCCTGGAGTCAGTAGGTGCCTGGTCCTTGTTAAAAAGCATTTTCATATATAGTGCCTTATTTAGTCTCAATTCTGGATAAAAGCAAGCCAGATGCTTTTTAAAGATACATTAAAGATGAGAAATTGAGACCTGGTGTGGTGTTTCAGCTGTACTGAAGAGCTTCTGATAATGAATAAGCCCATCTGATTTTTGCCAGAATTGAACATTCTATTCCTTAATTACTTACTAAACACCTACTATGGGCCAGGCTACGTGTAAGGTACAAGGAATATGAAGGTGAGTAAAACAGCAAACTACCTATGTTATCAGGTACTTTATATTGCTGGGTGCTACACTTTTGATATAGTAGAAATAGAGGAAGGCAAACAGTACTAAAGAACACAACTGAAACAGTATTTACCGTTTACCAGTGTAAGGCAGGCATCATTCCCATTTTACAGGGATTTTTTTTTTTTTTTTTTTAATGAATTTCGGAGGATACAACTTGTCCAAGATTTCTCTCTTCTGAATGGCAGACTGAAGTGAACAGCCTTGGAAATTTTGCAGTTTTCCCAGGAAACAAATAGAGACAACTAGAGATTCTGTGAAATTAATCATTTAACTAGCTGAAAAAGTATATCACACCGTTTCTTTAAAACAGCAGTCTGGCCTTTTGGCATCAGCTTGATGGTGCAGGTTTCTGTTTAATAACAGATCACCCTGAAGTAAATAAAATGCACAATTGTCCAAATGGAGTAGGCCATTTGCCTTGAAATTTCCCTGATTATCAATTCGTCAGTCAGAGCTGGAGCAGCCTGCATAATCTGCTACGAGGTTCAGAGAGAGAAAGGAGTTAGCCGAAGTTCTTAATATACTCTTTGCTAAAGATTGATAAGAGAACAACTTGGAGAAAAGCAGTTACTGGAGGAGATTGTGCTCCCCTATAACTTTTACCTGCTCCTACATTCAAAACTTAAGCTGGCCGGGGCACCTGGGTAGCTCAGTGGGTTAAAGCCTCTGCCTTCGGCTCAGGTCATGATCCCAGGGTCCTGGGATCGAGCCCCGCATCGGGCTCCCTGCTTGCAGGAAGCCTGCCTCTCTGCCTGCTTGTGATCTCTGTCAAATAAATAAATAAAATCTTTAAAAAAAAAAAAAAAAAAAGCTTAACCTGGCAGAGATTCTGAAATAATAGTAATGAATATTTATCAAATTCCCCCATAAGACCACACAGAGCAGCCATGAAAACAAAACCTTGGACAACTTAAAAACGTTGGCTGCCTCAGTCAATGGAGCATGCGACTCTTGATCTTGGGATCATGAGGTCAAGCCCTACACTGAACAGAGAGCTTACTTTAGAAAACAAAAACAAAATCTTGGGTAACTTTACCAAAAAAATTAGATATCCCCGTGAGCCCTAAAGCAAAAGGTGGGT